TCTCTATCGTCGTTCTCGCTGAGAAAGATATCCAATTGGGTGTCGTCCTCTATCGTCGTTCTTTTTGGATTTCTTGCATTTTGCTGCAAAACTCTGAAGAGAGTGAAGACTTTGTGAAAATTCCTGTTATATATACCCGCATGCCGATGGCAGCGGTTATGGAGGTGGTGGTCGCGGTTGAGATGGTCGATTGTGGCGGTAGTAGTAGCGGTGGCTAGATAGGAGGCGGTTGCATCAACCTAGGGTTGTTTGATGGCTAGAGTTTAGTGGGCGGTTAGGATTTGGTAGAAAGAGTTTGACGGGGCTGGAGTTGAACTGGGTACTAGGATTTGGCAGCAATTTGAAGTTGAATTGGGTGCTAGGGTTTGGCAGCGGTACCTGGGAGTTGATAGAGGTTTGGCAACGGCTGAGAGTTGTTAGCCGCTATGGTTTGACAACGGCCGAGAGTTGTTAGTTGTTCGGGTTCGGAATAGTACATTGTAGTACAACATAGTTTAATTTGTCGTAATAAACCATAGTCTACTACGTACGGTGTGTTGTATTATATTGTATATGAGGCAGATGATGTGCGACCACATGAAGTGAGATTCAGGATTTAGATGCCAACAAGTGACAATAATAACTATGAGTGACTATAAATAAATGACTATAGTGATCGACATAAAATAAAATAATTTAAAAAATATGTAAATTAACTATTAAAAAATTTAAAAAAATTATATATTTTCCGTAATTTTCAATATTATGTGGGAAAAAAATATAAGTCTTTTTAAATAGTGTAAAAAATGCTAAAAAAAAAAAAAAAAAAAAAAAGAAGAGAAACGGGTTTTCTAAAGAAAAAAAATAACAAAAATGTTCGATGCAAAAATAATTGTTGAGTGCCTGAACCTCTGTAGCAACTCCAAAAATTAGGGTATCGTCGGCAAAGCACAAGTTAGATATTTCTAGGGCCGTTGGTGCCACTCGAACCCCTCTTAACTCGCCTCCTTCTGTTGCTTTCGCGATCAACGCAATAAGAACTTCGGCACAGCAAATAACATAAATCTAGTTTAATTACCATGCCCATTATTATTATGTAACTTCAGTTTGATATATTAATTCAATGCCATTTTATATAGTTTCTTTAAGAAAGATTTTGTTTTGATACTTAATTAAAATGAGCTATTTTGAATTAATCGTTATCTAATTTTCGAATTCCGCCGAATCTGATCCAAATAATCTTTTTTTAATCTTGGGATGCTGCATTTCATTGTTGTCAAATATGAAGATTGAGAGGAAGAACTAATTAATATGATATGAAACGGGAGAATTACACTTTTGGCCCCTACCCTCATATTTGGCACGATTTCACTTTTGGCCCCGGCCCCATTATTCCAAAGTGAACAAAGTTCACCTATAAGTTTCAATTTTAAACACTTTTGGTCCCCACCGTTACATGTCCGTTAGCAAGTAACAGAAAACACTATTTTAGGGTGAAAATTGAAATTTTAAAATCTTTTAAGACCGAAAATAATTATAAATTTAAAATAGACTACTTGCAATTTTTAATAATAAAAAAAGAAAATAACGAAACAAATTATTACATACACAGCTGAACTGCAGTGGAACTGTACAAACGTCAAAGTATATAGATACGCACTAATTAATTAATCATTAATTAATTATGATGCAGGAATTACTTTTCCCCTGTTGAAGTGGTTCTTGACGGCGTTAACAGAAGACTTAACGGCTTTAAGAATAGTTTTGCCCATCATTGTAGAAACATGCACCTTTCTTTTCGGAAAAACGCTGCCGTTTTTAGCATATCTGCTGTACATAATAACGGAACCCATCTACTGTGTGTTTTGTGTGTGTAATTTATATATAATATGTATATTTGATCCCTTGTTTTTTGTTTGAGTTTATGTTTGTGTAATGATATAAGAATATGTTGAGATAATATATAGGTATTTATATATAGATACACAGACGTGTATTGGGTGGTGACTTGTTCATGCATGGAGAATGGAGAGAGAAGTTGACTTGTTCAATAAACGTTGACTTAGTCAACGGAAACGCGGACCCAATTGATTTGGGGAGAAAAAAATAGTGTAATTAATTATTTTTCAATTAATTAATTAAGAGTGATGAAATGGTAAAATAAAAAGGGGAAATTAGTGATAACCCCCTAATTTTGAAAATATATATGAGGAGGTCCAATAAATTTTTCTTTCCTAGTCAAAAACCCAAATTCGGATCTTAATTAAGGAGACCCCCCTGGATAACTTAAAATACCAGTTTTACCCTTTCACTATATGAAATAAGTACAAACCCTAGCCACCCACGTCATTTCAAATCACAACCACCCACACTCTGCTCTTTCTCTCTCTAGATATTTTTCTCTTGATGCTTTCTTCTTCCTCCCATATTCATTTATTTCCCCTTATTCAGCTCCCTCTCTCTCTCTCTCTCTCTCTTCAGCCTTTCCTCACCGTCGATCCGCCTTGGAGCATCCACCACGGGATCTAACGTCTCTCCTCTGTCGCCGCTGCACCGCTCCAGACGTTTCTCCTCTATCGCCGTGACATCCTCTGTTCTTCCATCGCCCCCCATCGCTCTTCAGCCACTGGTCCTCCGGCGATGTCCTCTATCTTCGCTCATTTAACACGGCGGAGATTGAAATAGGTATTTTTTTATATGATTTGATTTCGGATATGATACATAGGTGTTTCGTATATATGATTTGATTTTTAAGTTTTCGTTTTTTTACACTGTGTTGTGTTTAATTTTTATTTTTTGATTTTCATTTTTACACGTATTCAATGGGGTACAGTGATGTGTTTTTGAAAATGTTAAGCTCATCTTTTATTGAATTTAAATGTTGGGCTGGTCTTATATTTCAACGATAAAGAAAGCTACTAAGAAAGCTTTTGAAGAGATGGATCTGTGCAAAATGATAAAGAAACTATTTGTATTAAATTATTTGTTCAACGATATGCATGATTTTGACTTTTATTTGTGTTCTCGGGTGTTTCTTGTCTTCACGATGGAAGTGGAATGGTTTTTAGATTTGGGTGGTACAATTTTTTCACCAATTTAATTGTGAAGTTTTTTGTTGAACAATGTTTTTTTTTTTTTTTTTTGTGTGTGTGTTGTTGTTTTACAATGTTTTGATATACAGTGCGGTTTTGCTGCTGACTGTGAATTAAACCAGTAAATATTAGGTGTAGAAACTTCTGTTTAAACTTAGATTTGCTACGAATTTTACTATATAACTGCAGTCATATGTTGTCACATGTAGTCACATTTAGTAATATTTAACAGCAGTCATATGTAGTCACATTTAGTAACATATGGACCTGTAGTACACTCATGTAGTCATTTGAACTCGACTCTGATTATTTGATTCTTCGACTCAACTGATATGTTGTTTTAACTGGATCTACATTTTTTTATAAAAAGAGATCTACTAAGTTTTTTAAAATATGTGTATAATTAATATTGTTGTTCACTTTTTTTTATACCTAGGAGTATATGTAGATTCGTATGAGAATATTTTGTTGGTAATATGATATTGATATTTTATTTATCGAGAATGAAATAGGTGACTACTTTTACGTGTGTTTCAACTATTATTTTATCTATGGTGTTCCACTTCAACTTGCTTTGATCTTTGACCTTTGGTTATACGAAGAATAATGACTAGCATACTCTGTTTGTAATTTGATTTTGATAATATAAGTTGTCTCGTGTCGCCTGGAGAACAAAGTCAAACTTGAAGGGACAAATAAAGTTACATACATGTATATAGTCACAACTCACATGTGGCCATATACATGTAGTCATATATAGTCATGTGTAGTAACATACATTAATATATGGTGTAGTCACATATAGTAATATATAGTCACGTGTAGTAACATACAGTAATATATGGTGTAGTCACATATAGTAATATATAGTCACGTGTAGTAATATATAGTAATATACGGTGTAGTAATAAAAAAAGTAATATATAGTTATATATACTATGTAGTCATGTAGTCATATGTAGTCATGTATGAGTTATGTGGGGAGTATCTATGTATACCAGTAGGTGATAGTGCGTGTGTGCATATTTAAATTTGAAGCAAAATTCGTTGTTTGTTTAACTCTTTTTCTTTTTTCACAGGTCTTGGTGTTTGAACTACTATGTAGTAAGTTTTTTCACAGGTCTTGGTGTTTGAACTACTATGTAGTAAGTTTTTGCGGAGTGGATTGTGTTCGTTGTTCAAAACAAGCGGTTCTCGTGTTGACAATTGCGATTTGAGTCAAATTTAGTCGTATAGATAACTGTAGTTATGTATAGTTCTATGTAGTTATATATATTTATATACAAGCTATGTGTTTTTCTGATGAATAGTGATCTTGATGATTGTGTTTTTTTTTTCACTTTTTTGTTAGGCATTAAATTTTTTATAATACCAAGAATCAAATTTTGAATTTTTTTATTGGTATAGATGAATTTTTATATATATAATCAACGGTTTTTATAATCGATCGACCATAATTTTGGGGTAAAAAAACAGTACATGACTACATATAACTATACATGACTGTGGTATACTATAGTCATGTATAGTCAATTTCAATGCAGTAAATTAAAAATTAAAAAATAAAATTTAAATAATTAAAAATTAAAAAAATATTAAAAAAATTAAAAAAATTAAAAAAATTAAAAAAAAAAAGTTAAGAAAACAAAATTAAAAAAATTAAAAATTAAAAATAATTAAAAAATAAAAAATTAAATTAAATTAAAAAAATTAAAAAAATACAAGAAAGGGTGCGTATGAAATAATAATAATAAAATAAAAATTTATAATTTTTTATTAAAAAAATTGAAAAAATGATAAATGCAGGTCTAAAAGTGTGGAGTGCAGTTAGCTATAATGCTGAATGGCGAATGCTGGGGTGAAATACTGAATGCAGTTTGCTGAAAATAGCAATTAAGGGCACAATAGTACTTTTGCCTCTTCAGGGGTGTATCTCAAAGAAAGAATTTTAGGGGTGGACTTATCCCTATATATTTTCCATTATAGGGTTGTATATCAAATGACCCCAAATAAAAAATAGTGTAATTAATGTTTTATTGGTATTGTAAAATGACAAATAATTTGGGATAAATTTCAAATAAATCCAACCCATTCAAACTTATTTGCAAATAAGGAAAATCCTTTCATATATACCAAAATTACCCCCAATCATTGAAACCCAATTCAACTCCAATTTCATGATTTACACCCCAATTTAGCCAAATTTTATCAATTAACCAATTTTAACCCTAATTTTAATTTTGACCCCAATTTTAACCCTAATTCTTATCAATTCCACCAATTATGCTCTAACTTCCTTAATATTACACATTGACCCCGGATTTAAACAAATATATCACATCAACCCCCCAATTTTTTTTTTTAGAAAATATTTTTATTTCTGAAATGTTTTTTTTCCGGCCAGATTCCGGCGTTGACTTTTTTTTTTTTTTATATAATTTTGTTTTTTCTTAAAAAAAAATTTAATTAATATTACTGTCTTGGCTGCTAAATTACTGTCTCTGGCAGTTATTTAACTGCCGGAGACAGTAATTTAGCTGTTAATTGACTTTTTTTTTTCTTCAAAAATATTTTAATTAATATTACTGTATCTTGCTAAATTCTGTCTCCAACAGTTATTTAACTGTTGGAGACAGTGATTTAACTGTTAATTGACTTTTTTATTCTTAAAAAAAATATTTTTAATTAATATTACTGTATTCGTTTGCTAAATTACTGTCTCCAGCAGTTATTTAACTGCCGGAGACAGTAATTTAGCTGTTAATTGAATTTTTTTTTTCTTCAAAAATATTTTAATTAATATTTACTGTATTCGTTGCTAAATTACTGTCTCCAGCAGTTATTTAACTGTTGGAGACAGTGATTTAACTGTTAATTGACTTTTTTATTCTTAAAAAAAATATTTCTAATTAATATTACTGTATTCGTTTGCTAAATTACTGTCTCCAGCAGTTATTTAACTGTCGGAGACAGTAATTTAACTGTTAATTGACTTTTTTTTCATTTTTTTTCTTAAAAAAATATTTTAATTAATAGTACTGCCTTAGATGCTAAATTACTGTCTTCAACAGTAATTTAACTGTCTTAGACAATAATATTAATAATATTACTGTTCGGAAAAATAATATTCATAATATTACTGTTCGGAAAAATAATATTCATAATATTACTGTCCCAAACAGTAATATTACTGTCTGAGACAGTAATTTAGTAGCTAAAACAGTAATATTAATTAAAATATTTTTTTCTTCTAAGAAAAAAAAAATCAAAAAAAAAAAAAAAAAAAAAAAGTCAACGCCGGAGACCGGCGGTCAACGGTGGTTGACCGGCCGGAAAAAAATTCAGGAAAAAAAAAGTTTTCAAAAAAAAAAAAAAAAAAAAAAAAGTCAACGCCGGAGACCGGCGGTCTCTGGCGGTCAACGCCGGAAATCTGGCCGGAATCTGAATATTTCAGAAAAAAAAATTATTTTCTGAAAAAAAAAAAATTTTGGTTGTTAATGTGATATATTTGTTTAAATATGGGGTCAATGTGTAATATTAAGGAAGTTAGAGCATAATGGGTGGAATTGATAAGAATTATATTGTTGAGGGTATTTTAGACTAAAGACATGGGGATGGGCTTAATTGAGAGACTGTTTTTTTTGTGGACCAAAATGCATTTAAGTCCTATGTGATGGGCCTTTTTGCTATTCGCCCTATTTTTAAACACATATATTTTGTTGTCGATTTATATTTTATAATTCATATATGATCTCATTGGCCGTGAGCAACTTGTGATTAGTACAAATTATTTATTTATTTATTTATTGAGAAAAGGAGTATAAATAATTTATTGGGTAAATGGCATTTGACCCCTGTGGTTTGAACATTTTGCACATAATCCGCTTGTCTGATAAAATTAGGCACATAACCCCTTTGTAGTTTTGCACATGATCCCATTATGGTATCTAATTAGGCACATAACTCCCTCATGGTTTTAACATTTTGCTCGTGACCCCCTTATGTATGAAATTAACACATATTATTGAGTTTTTTTTTTTTTTTATAGCAAATATTTTTTATTTATTTAATTTTCATTTCAACTTTAGAAAAATATTTATTTAGATTTTTCCAAAAGAATAAAAAAAATAAAAACTTTGTTTCTTAAAAAAATTATAGTTCGATAACAGCTATAATATAAATACTATATAGAAAATAGTAATATAATAATCATAATTAATGATATTATTAAAGATTTTCAAATTGATTTTTAAAATTGAATAAACTTTAGGGGTGATTTAGTCTTTTCCAGTTTTCTATTCAAGAGGGTTATGTGCTAATTTCATACTATAACGAGGTTATGTGCAAAATGTCAAAACCACAAGGGGGTTATTTGCCTAATTTCATAACCTAAGGAGGTCATGTGGAAAATGTCAAAACCACAAGGGGGTTATGTGCTTAATTTCATCCCCATAAGGGGTCATGTGCAAAATATTCAAACCAAAAGGGGTTAAGTGCTATTTACCCTTATTTATTTAATACACTAGGCATTAATTATTTATTTATTTAGTGGGCTGGACTAGTTACTCAACAAACCCTAAATTAAATGGGTTGGATCTTTAGTATCATGGGCCACAGTGCTTGTTGATTCATATTTTCTTTTGGTAGTTGTACAAATCGGAATAGAATTTTTGAATTTTGTCGATTTTAATTTGAAGAAAAAAAAAATCAATTCTAGAATATTTTTTTTCATTTTTATTTCAAAATACCAATATATCCAAAAATTCCACAATGTATCCGAAATTCATAAATCTGATACTATTTCGGAAAATTCCAAAATTATTATATATAAAAAAAAAGATTTCTTAATTATTAATTTGGGACGAATTATTAGGTTTTGAATTTTTGAAATTGTATTTGGAAGTCATTTTCTACATCAGAAAAAATCGATTTTTAGATCTTTTCGAAAAGACTTATTTTGATATATAGCTTTAAAAGCACAAATTTTAAAGTAAACAAAAGCAAAAGTGCACTCGTAAATATTAAAAAATATATTTTTAAATAAATAAAGAAAAAGAAACTCATAATTTATTTTCGAAAGTTTTTGCAAATACCATATTAGGTGTAACCGATATATTGTTAATTCAAAACTCATTGACATTTAAATTATTCAAGAAGTTTAAGTTGAGTGTGTGCTTAAACATGTTAGATTGTGAATGATTTCTAATTAAATTATTTTGGACCACCTTAACTACTTCTCCATATCAACTTTATATATATATACATATATAAGTTTACTCAAAGAAGATATAAATACATTAGTACATAGGGGCTCTTTGAGGAAACTCCCTCATTATTTTTTTTAATGGAGAGAGGTCCAAAATATTTCTGTCCATTTGAGAAAAGTTCACATTCATTTTGAGCTAATGTGTTTTCCAGCTTTGCCCCCGCCAGCCACATCAGCACTGGGTCACGCGCTCAGCAATTTTTTCTTTTTTGTTTTTCTGTTTTTTTTCCCTTCTTTTCTGTACCAGTTTTCTTAATCGACCATGGAGCATAGTCGATTAGCCTTAATCGACTATGCTTCATAGTCGATTAAGGAAATTCTTTAAATTTTTTTTTCTATTTGAGTATATTATTCAACTATGATGAATCATAGTCGATCAAAAGTCTACTACTAAAAATAACAAAACAAAACTGCAAAAAAATGCAAAATCAACTATATTTTACAAAAAAAAAAATATAAGAACATTATAATTGATTTATACAATTGGAATTAATTAAAAAAAAATGGAATCGATCAACTTTAATCCACTACCAGAGCATAGTCGATTAAGAATCTGCTACTAAAAATAACAAATCACAACTGCGAAAAAATGCAAAATCAACTATATATATTACAAAAAAAAAATATACAAGCATTATAAATGATTTATACAATTAGAATCAATAAACAAAAAATCCAAGAAAAAAAAAATTGGAGTCAATGAACCTTAATCGACTACTAGAGGATAGTCGATTAGCTTAATCGACTATGAACATGTACATAGTCGATTAAGGTTTTAGCCTGCGCGAAATTCTCTACAGGCGCCGTCATCCGCCCAGTCCACCAAAAAACCCTAAATCTGTCTCCCCATCGTCACCACACCGCCGCCACAACACACCGTCACCACCTTACTTTGATATTATGACAGTTTTTTTTTTTACAAATAAATAAAATAAAATCACAACTCGCACCACCAACCAAATTAGAATCACCACCCATCACAATCCGATTCCAATCGACAATTTTACCTCTTTTCGCCACCGATGAAGCAATCGTGGCATTCGAACTCAGAAATCGCTATCAAAATCATCATCATCTTTATGGATTTTGTTAAGATCTGCAACGACGGCGACGGCGATGGCGAGACGACAACTGCAACGACAAAGACGGCTTCAACGAAATTGGCATCGTTATTCTGGCGGTGATGTCGGTGGTTGGTTCTTCATCTTCCGATAAGAGAAAATGAGAGAAAAGTATAAAAGAGAGAAAAAAAAAAGTAGAGAAGATACGCGAGAGAATAGATGGAAAAGAGAAAATAAAATTATGATTTTGAAAAAGTATAGTAGACAATTAAGGGTAATTTTGGAATTATGAAAATATCACTTTGGTGGATATTAGCTAAGGGGGTTTTCTCTAATTATTTTTTGGAGGGGGTGTTTCCTTAATTCATTTTCCTAGATAGGAATTCTTGTTAATTATCCCTAGTATATAATATATTATTTGTATAAAATCTTGGTCGAATAAAGAGAAATGGACGTGCCAACTTATATGAAATGCGATAAAAGTGATAAAAGTGTTCGTGTGACTATAATTAATATAATTGTTACAAATAAAAAGACTATAATTAATAATAATAAGCATTTTATCAACTAATACACTTACTTGATTATTGATGGTTTGTGATGCACACGTACATACAAATCAATTTGTTACTTTACTTTATTGTCTATAAAAAAAGAAAAGAAAAATATATAAAATTTTCGTTTTGATACTTTCATTTGTCTTCATTTGATTTTTTTTTTAAAAATTAAAAAATTATGGACTTTGCATCCTCGGAAAAACTTAGTAACAGTTTGCACTGGTAAAACACAATAAATCATTCACAATACACCTCGTATTGAATTTTTAGAAATTAATAAGGATATTTTCTTCTTAACACTGGATTTTTTCGATGAAAAAAAACGAATCGCACCTAATGACTTCAAAATTAGTTTTTATAAAACAAAATAAATTATTTTCAAATATTTTCTCAACAATTTGTCAAAGAGACAGGTCTTTTACATGAATCAGTAAAATAAATTGTTCTAATTAATTATGGTAATTTTTGTTTAATATGTTTTTATTAATTGTGCAATGCCGAGTTAAAAGACCCTACATGAAAATGCAAAATAGGCAACGATTTCTTTATCGACGAAATTAATTTGGTTGCCAATAGTTATATTTTAGCAACAAAATAGTATTTGGGGCTAAAGATTAACGTTTTTGTAATAAAAAAATTTTGTTGCCTTTGAATCTCATAGGCAACAAAAAATAGTGTTGTGAATAGTATTGTTGATATTTCGCAACGAATTTAATTAAAGACAACAACTTTATTTGTTGCAAAAAAGTATTCCTTTTCGCTACGATATAAAATTGAAAATTGTAGTGAATACATTTACAATAGCAACAAATTTATTTTGTCACCAATACAAAAGAGTTTTTTTTTTCTAGAAAAAAAATCCTTCAACCATTTTCGTTTATAAATTCCAACAAATATTTCACAAGTTATATCGATCGGATGTTGAGAAAAAAAATGAGAATTTTTTTTTTTTTGTGAGAATGATTTATCTTCAAATCAATTTAGTGAGTAATTCTTTAAATTTGCACTTTGTACGTTAAATAATTGCAGCAGACGCCTCAGGAGGATCTTGTTGGCTACGTGATCTGGTTTGCATCGTTCCCACAGACGGCGCCAAAATGATGATGCTAATTACTTAGATCACCTGGGGTAGTGTAGAAAAGGAACTGGGAGAGCAAAGCAGATCAGTAGCTTGACAACTTGATGATCCTGAGGTACCTGCGATCATAGAACACATGAACTAAGCCGGGGGTTGATCCGGCGGAAACCCCTCCGACGCTCAAGTTAGACGTACTGATCATAGAAATAGTCCAGAGAATACGTATTGTAGTATTGCTCAGTTAATAGGGCGTACCTTAAGGAATGAGTTCAAACCTTTATTTATAACTTAGTTGAGATTGTAGGGCCCAAACCTTACTTGAAGGTGATTGGGCCTTGGTGATAATGGTCTTAGATATTGGGCTCGTGGCCCAATAGGTAAAGAAATTGTAGGCTCATTTGGCTGGCCCAATTAGGCATATCAATATGTTATATTAAAGATCTTCTTTTCTTTAGACTCCAATATAAATAAATAAATAAATACACATGATACTTTTTGCTGCGTGAATTATTGTAATAATATACCTAGTCTACAATTCACCCCATAGAACATGCAATAAATCTCTTAAAATCAATTATCTAATAAGAGTCATTTTGCCCTCTATGAATACTTTGACCTAAAAACCATATTATTATACTTTAATTAAAATTGATGCCCTTTTTTTATTATAACAATTTTGCAAACATTAATTAACATGCGAGATAAAAAAAAAATTATTGTTTTTTAATTTTAAAACGAATTTTAAACACGAATTGGGGGGCCAAAGGGAACATGTGGGGGCCAAAAAGTCAAAACATCAAAAAGGAGCGTGTCAGCATGAGGAGGACACGTGCCAAGCTGGGTATGGACACGCGCACGTGTCACGACAAAGGTTGACTCTCCCTCAAATCGCGTGACGGACAAATCTAGGTCCGGCATGAATCGAACCTCTCTCCCCCACCTTGTTTCATGCCAACCTCTCTACACTATGAAATGTATAATATAATGTTTGCTTCCATGCACATGTAAATATCACTTTTTTTCGAGTTTAAATATTTGGAAAAAATCGCCCGACTCACTGAGTCGGTGGAACAATAGAAAATAGTGTCGTATTTAACTATAGTGTGAATTTTCTTGAATTTGTCGCACATGAACTGTTAATCTAATGTAATTTTTGCGCGATTTATTGCACGAATGTAGAATTTCTTCAGTACACTATCTAGTAATTACGGGTTCGATCCCAGGTCAAAAATAATAAAGTAAAATGGAGGGACTCACTATTTTAAAAATTATTTCTCTATTTTTCGAAAATATGTATCATATATACACATATACATATAATGCATTTAATTATATATATAAATGAGTTAGGTTTTCAATCGGGCGAGTTTGAAAATAAGAAATCGAGACTCACCCCAACTCATTTACAACTTGTTAATTATATTGCCTCATTGTGTCAACATTTTTTGTTAATTTTCTGAGTTGGAGAAAATACGGCTCAATTTTTTTATTTACCTTAAATTCATATTTGTTTGAATAAATTAAATCTAAATATTACTAATCTAGAAAACAAACTTCAATCTTCTTGCTTGTAAAAGAATAATTTTAGAATATTCGAAAAAAAATATTAAAAAAAAAATCTAAATAGCAAAAATTATGTAAAGAGCGTTACGCCCACGCTCCTCCATAACGCTGGGTTGAGCTATTCATACCAAAAAAAATCCGGTGCGACTACGTCCACGCTCCTCCGAAGACTCAACCAATCCTACGCAAAAAACATCTACCGACGTGTCACTCTCCCATTGGTCCAACTATCCTCTTCCCAGACAAAAAATATTATGAACGATACCAAACAATAAACTAGGGGCTCGCGCCACAGACCCCGTTTTTGGTACAACGTCAAAATCAAATTATTTAAATTAGGGTAAATTACAACCACCCCATAAGGTATGGTCAATTTATGAAAGAACCCCTCTTGTTTGGATAATTACATCTACCCCTCAACTATGATTTTTTCTTACACTTCCACCCTTATGGTGTCAAATTCAACATAATCATCTATATTTCGTGAAATGTGCTCTAGTTTGTACTCGTTCTGTGTAAAAATACAATTTCTGATGCACCACAATCTGATATTTACAAGCTTAAAAACACATATTATGATTATCTTGCTTCAAAGTGTGGAGTTCGAATAGAATAAAACGAGTACAAAAATGATAATAATCCCGAAAATTCCACTAAATTTAAAACCACAAGGATGGGCTTGTAAAAATATTAATAGTTAAGGGGTGTGGTTTGTAATTATCCAAACAAGTAGAGGTTTTTTGTAATTTGACAATACCTCAGGAGTGATTGTAATTTATCCTTTAAATTAATATTTATTTATTTATTCAATTAATTAATTAATTAATTAATTTAATTAATTAATTGAAGGTTTGAAAACTACAATGAAGCCAAAAAAACCCAGAGAGAGGAGAAGAAACCCCATTAAATTGAGACCGAATTCCGTTCTCGAGCTTCCCCTTTTCTCGCTTCTCTCTCGCCATTGATGAAAGGTGGTAGTGTTCGTGGTGGCGCGTCTATTGATGGGCGGCGGAGAATCAGAGAAGGAGGAGGAGGAGGAGGAGGATTGGCCGGCGCCACGTGTCACCGGAGCCAGACTAGTTGACGCGCCCGTTCTTTTCTTCGTCGCCACCCATAAAGCTTTCCGTGGCGAGCTGTCGTCGCTCCACCGTGCGGCGGCGGAGGCGGCTGTTGGCGGTGCCGTCCGCCGTGAACTCGTCGTTGACCTCCGCCGGAGGTTGCAGTTTATGAAGCTCGTTTTCAACTACCATTGCTCTGCTGAAGATGAGGTAATTAGTCACCAACTCCACAATTACCAAATCACTATATATAATAAATGATTATTATTATTATTTCTTATTTTTAATAAATAAAATCAGAATTTTTGTTCTTGATTGTTGATTGTTAGAACAGTGCGTTGACCAATCTTTCTTCATCTCTGGTTTATTAAATCTAGTTTGCTTATTTGAATCTAGGCATATATATATCCTTGTAAGATTTTTATCAATTACTTTGTTTGAATTAAACTAATTAATTAATATTCGTAAAATCGGTATAACTGCTCATGTAATAATAATAGATGATGTTCAAATCTAATCTTGAAACTGCAACAGGTAATATTTCTTGCATTAGATGCACACGTAAAGAATGTGGTCCCCACGTATTCGCTCGAACATAAATGTATCGAAGATAACTTCAGTTCCGTTTTCCGTCACTTGGATCGCGTGATAAACAACGACGAAGATGCTCAGATGTTTCAAGAGCTTCTGTTCTCCATAGGCACTGTCCAAACCATGATTTGTCAGCACATGCATAAAGAAGAGGAACAGGTAATTACGTTTTAGTGTAGTAATTTTCGTTAAGCCAAACGAATAAAAAATTGCGTAATTACGTTTTTTTCTCGACAGGTTTTCCCTTTGGTGATGAAGAAATTCGATCCCGAGCAGCAATCTCAGCTCGTGTGGCAGTACATATGCAGTGTCCCGACTGTACTGCTTGAGGAATTTTTCCCGTGGATGACTCTGTACCTTACTAAAGACGAAAAACTCGATCTTATTCATTGCATAAACCTCATCCTACCTAAAGAAAGATTACTTCAAGAGGTGACTACTATATATATATATATATATATATATATATATATATATATATATATAGGTATGTATTTATTTATATATGGTTAATTTTTTTTTTTGGAATTAATTGTGAAAATCGAATCTCCATAGGTGTTTGTTTCTTGGATTCAGCGAGAAGAGAGTTCTTACAAAGCGGAAAATATATATAGAAAGGGGTGTGAGCTTTTAAATCTACTGTCGGATTCCAAGTTGATTGCACCTCAAATTCACGGTGAATTAGGACAGCAACTCGATAAAGTGTGTTGGGTCCCGATCAAGGGTGTTTATCTTTGGCATGCTGCTCTAAGAAGAGATTTCGATCAAATTTTAGAGGAATTATATGAAATGAGAAGCTCCGACTGTTTTTCAAGCTTGTCTTCGGTCGTTGTTCAGATTAAGTTTATTGCAGATGCTATCATCTTCTATAGGTAACCTCATTCATCCCCCAATCGTATTTGCCGCAAAAAAAAAAAAAAAAACAAAAAAAAAACCGTGACGCTTGTTGATATTTTCCTCTCGTGTTTTTTTTTTTAATTTTATTACAGCAATTTGTTGGACAAATTCTTTTACCAATTTCTCGACATAGCCAAGAGCAGCGTATCGTCTTGCAGCCCACTAATCGATGAATATCAGATTAAATGTCTTCGAAGTTTGCTATACTACAAATGTCAAAATTTGTCACAGCTGGAGATGTTTTGTCAAGAACTCGAATCCTTTGTAAACGGGCTCGCCGGAAAACTGGCATTTCTCGAAACCGAGGTATAATATAAAGATTCCATTTTTTATTTTGGTGCAAAAACGGAAGACATGTTTTCTTGAAGAAAATTTCCTTGTCTCAATTTTGGGGTCGCATGGAATTTTTACGTTCACAAACCCTCGATTTTCGCTCTGTAATTTATTAACTCGGTAACTTTATTTTCCATTTTCTTTTTTTTGTGCAGATTTTTCCGTCTATTATCGAGACTTGCACAGCCGAGACACAGCTGTGGCTGCTCTACACAAGCCTTAGTACAATGCCACTTGGCATGCTAAAATGCACCGTTTCTTGGTTCTCTGCTCACTTAACCGATAACCAATCGAACTGCATCTTAAACAACGTGAAAATGGGATGTCATTCAATCAGTAACTCTTTCACATCTCTATTACATGAATGGGTCCGCATAGCTCGTTCGGGCAAAATCTCCACCGAAAAATTCAGACATAATCTCATCGAAACATTCAATGGTAGAACCTTTTACTTGTCCGAACAAAATCGTACTATAATATTGTCCGATCACAAAAGGGCATCTTCTAGTAATGGAATGAATCTTCACACATTTTATAAAACAATGCCGCCCCTTCAAACAAATCCCGTTATATCTGATAATGATGCTACTTTTCTGAAGCTCGATTCTAGACCAATGGACCTTGTCTTTTATATTCATAGAGCCCTCGAAGAAGATCTGAAATACCTCGCCAGCTTGTCCGCTAAGCTGTCTGAAAACCCCGGACTTTTTCCCGAGTTCAAGAATCGTTTCGACATTTTTCACAAGATTTATCAAATTCACAGCAACTCAGAAGACGAAATTGCTTTCCCAGCTCTCGAATCGAAGGGGGCGCTTAGAAATATAAGCCACTCGTACTGCATTGACCATAAATTGGAAGTCAAACATTTCACGAGAATTTCCACAACCCTAAACGAAATCTCTGAGTTGCATGGTCGTGAGATAGAGCACTATCGGTTGTGTCTGAAGCTTCACGACACGTGCATGGCCATGCATAAGGTACTATCGGACCATATATACCGTGAAGAAGTCGAAATCTTTCCTTTGTTCAGACAGTGCTTCTCTATCGAGGAAGAAGGGAAGATTTTAGGGCAAATGCTCGGTCGGACAAGGGCGGAAGCTATACAAGAAATGCTACCTTGGCTAATGACGTATCTAACCTCAGACGAACAAAATGCGGTGATGTCATCATGGCTTAAAATTGCGAAGAATACAAAGTTTGATGAATGGTTAGGAGAGTGGTGGGAAGGAATGGCGAGACATAATAATAATAATAATATATCCACGGTGGAATATTCTACTCCTTCGGTAGCTTCCGACCCCCTCGAAGTCGTTTCGAAGTACCTTCTGAAAGAAGTTGGTACTCGTGGAGGAGGGGCAGAAAAGGAATTTCACTTTGAAAAAGTGGATGAACCGAAGTTTGGCGGTGGAGTTGAAGAGAAGGGGTCCAAAAAAGGAAAAACGAGATGCGATGATGTGGCGGAGATAGGTAATAATAAAGAATGTCGGGAATCGAACAATAAGGAGCATCCTTTGAACATGACTCAAGAGGAGCTCGAAGCTACTATACGAAGAGTATCACGTGACTCGAATTTAGATAGTCAGAAGAAATCACACATAATTCAGAATTTGCTAATGAGGTAATTATTTTTTAATATATTTTTTTGTTTTATGCATGTTTTTGTTGGTTTTTTGACTCGTTTATTTTTTCATAATTACAGTCGTTGGATTATTACGCAAAAGATGTCTAGTCAAGAATCTTCTCCGATGGGGAATCACGAAGGAGAGATTCCTGGTCAAAGTCCGTCTTATCGGGACCCGCAAAAGTTGACTTTTGGGTGCAGTCATTACAAGAGGAATTGTAAGCTTGTTGCTCCGTGCTGTAATAAGCTTTACACATGCATACGTTGTCACGATGAATTAACCGATCACTCTGTGGACAGGTTAGATTTATTAGCGTGGATTATGTTGTTTTCTCGAATCTTGTGTTGATTTCAATTTTTTATTTTTTATAACATGCATTCTTGTTCTTGATATTTCTTGTTGATGCAGAAAAGCTATTACGAAAATGATGTGCATGAAGTGCATGGTGATTCAGCCAGTCGGGCCGAAATGCACGACTATATCTTGCAATGGCTTCTCCATGGCGAGATATTATTGCAAGATTTGCAAATTGTTCGACGATGAGCGGTGAGTTGATTATGATGTCTACCTGATTTTTATTGATTATGATGTTCTACTCTAACATCGTTACCAAAAAAAATCTTTACCTTAGGTGAAAATTGGAACGGAATTTCCGAATTCCATCAGTTATGATAAAAAAAATCTTATTTTGGAAAAACCATTTCATTCCGAATTCCGAAGATTCCTATTTTCAGTTTTTACTTTTTACGAGTATTGTTGGAGAGGAATTGGAATTATTCACTTCCGGGAAAAAGAAAAAAACGACTTTTTTATTCCGAAAGTGCTAATATCGATCCCATAAGTTCGATTTCCACCACGTACTTATAATACAAAATCTTAAATCTTAATAAATTTTCGACAGGCAAATATACCATTGCCCGTACTGCAACTTGTGTCGACTCGGGAAAGGGTTAGGCATTGACTACTTCCACTGCATGAAATGCAATGCTTGTATGTCAAAGTTACTCTTTGTACACGTATGTAGAGAGAAATGTCTCGAGGACAATTGCCCTATTTGCCACGAGTACATTTTTACGTCCAACTCCCCGGTCAAGGCACTTCCGTGTGGTCATCTTATGCATTCATCTTGTTTTCAGGTATCTTCTAACTCTTGTCAGATATTTTCTTGTCTGAATTTCATTCGAAATAAAAAAAAAAAGAAAAAATCGGAAAATTGACGTATTATTCTTTCTTTGTTAGGACTACACTTGTTCTCACTATGTTTGCCCAATCTGCAGCAAGTCACTGGGTGACATGCAGGTTAGCTACATTTCCTTCGTTAAATATATTGCTCGGTTAGAAAGTGAAAATGCTATTACGTAAGTTTGAAATCTTAAAACAAAATTCATTAAAACTGTCGTTCGCTGCTACATGTTTTTTCGCAACATCGATTTACAGATAGTCGATACAAAATCCTATTAAATTGAACTATTTACTTAAGGAATCTCGTAATTACATCTTAGCAGCAACAAAAAATGAAACATCATAAAATATTATTTTATTACATTATATATATATAAATCTTCTAATAAAAAAATTAATTAATAATTTATTTGTCTTGCTATTCACAGGTGTATTTCGGGATGTTAGATGCTTTGTTAGCTGAAGAGAAAATGCCAGAGGAATACTCTGGCCAAACTCAGGTACTATTATTATATTATATTATATTATTATGTTACGCATGCATCGCTATTTTGTGATTCTCGATAATTAAAAAAAAGAATACGATAAGTTGTTCAAAAGTCGAATGTAAAATGGACAAATGCAGGTCATATTATGCAACGACTGTGAGAAACGAGGAACAGCCTCTTTTCACTGGCTGTATCACAAGTGCCCGAATTGTGGCTCGTATAATACGAGGCTCCTCTGACTTTCTTGGCGAGATTTTTATTTCCGAAGCTACCACGTATTCGTATATATCCTGTATTTATTCAGTAGGTAAGATTATTTTTAAGCTAATAATCGGTCTATTTTTTTTCTCTAATAGAGAGAGATTTTGGAAATGTGATGTATTCTCAGGTTCTCGGTTTTTTTCACTCAACCTGTGAATACGTATAGTTTTCGTCAATGATTATTCGAGATGCAATTTTTTACTCATGATTCTTTTTACAGAAAGTAATACTAACAGAGGAGAGTAGTATTATAAGATGTAAGATGATTTTTTTTTTCTTCTTTTTTCGTAGTGTTCGAAAAGCATTTGGATTTATTTCCGAAATCGATCGGACATGATTTGACAACAAACAAAATGTCTCGGCTAAAAACACAAGCGTAGATAACTTTTTATTTCAAATCCTGCTTCCCTTCTTCCGACACTTGAAACATTATTCGACTCGTGCAAAGTGTCTCTCTTTCAATCTACAACTCCAAATACAAACAAACGTTAACTCATTCATCAAATTATTTTTCCCCAAAATACCCCTACTTCCTAAACGGAATGAAACGATCTCCCGCAATGTTCCCAACATAGACACGAGTTTGCTATACACACACACACAATACCTACTAGCTAGAATGCATCAAGCAATATATGTACCCTAAGAATGTGAAATGTTTCTTATATATATATATATATATATATATATATATATATATATATATATATATATATATATATATATATATATATATATAATCAGTCATTTGCATTTATATAGTTCAAATGAAGATTTACGGAAATATTTTAATGAAGATGGTATTCGAATCTTTCAGCATTAACAAGCTGTTAAACTAAGCAATTAGTCGAAAATGACGAGACATGAATTTTACTGCGTGAGAGAGTGGAAAGCTAGCTAATCATTAAAACGTCGGAGTAAAAAACTACACTGATTTCTGTATATATTTCATCATTGCAAACGAGAAAATAAACGAATAAAAAAAACAAGAAACGTAAATAATTATGCAAAAACGTGCTTACTCTACGTTTTTATTTATGTGATCACGAGAAAAACAAGCTACTCTTCGCTAGACTTCATCCTCCGAGAAAAAAAATTCCGGTATAGTTTATTAGTTGACACTTGTGAGGCTAAAACAGGCTGCAGCGCTCTTCAATTCGTTCTCCGCCACCTGTTCGATAGATTGTCTTGAATCTCTTTCAGATGGTTCGAAACTGCATCGACAATTACAAAAACATCAGTTCTATTCGGAATATCAACAAATCATATCACCATGTCGAAATAAGAACAAAATAAAAAATAAAAAATTACCTGGATCCGATGTAAGATTGTGTGTCATCAATGTTTTCGAAAAACGGATGCATCTCGCCGTAATCGTGAGCCGATGTGCTCAATTCCGATTGCACGACCATCGAATTCGAATTCGAATCGTTATTATTAATATTAATACTAAAATTATTATTGGTATTATTATTATTATCATCGTAGCAATAATTTTGTTGCATCCAGAAAGAATCATCAATAACAACATCCTGTTTCAGAGAATCCATATGGATGTCGTCATCGTAATTATCGTACTGCATCGGAGGAGGAGGAGGCGGCGGCGGGGCCGCGGCGGCGGCGGCGTTGTTCCCCGGAGGTCCGACGCCGAGTTGTAGCTGGGAGACGAAATGGTCCTCCATCGACGACGAGACGTCTCGCTGCTGCTGGTGGTGGTGGTGGTGTTGTTGGTGGCGGTAGTAATTGAGGTGGTGGAGGACGAGGTGGAGCTCCTCCTGTAGGAGGTGAATTTTGTACTCGAGGTCCTGGATTTCGGCGACGCAGCCGAGGACGGGGTGCTTGTCGCGCATGGCGGCGTGGAATTTGATCGATTTGATGGCGATTGGCTTTTGGTCGGGGGCGAGCTCCTTGAGTAGGTTTTGGACGTGCTTAACGCCGAATAGACGGTGGACGTTCTGGAACATTTTGGGCTGATCAGCCGGGAAGAACGGTGCCAGGAGGCACTCCGCCGTGCATCTCCGCCGCTGGAATTTGCAGGCCGCGCACGCTTGTCCCGTGCCGCTCTTCAGGGTCATAACAATCAATTCAATTCAATTCAATCAATTAAATTAATTAATTCATATATACAAATATATATATACGTATATATATGTATGGATATAAATACGGCGAGAATTTGTTCGGAGAATCTGCAAAAATGGAGGAATGTTTTTTGGGGGAAAAAAGCAGAGTGATGATCTAATCTAAAGTGTGAGAGACTGAGTACAAATATTTAGATGGGGCTGTTTTTATTTTATTTATTTTATTAATTTATTATTTAAAAATTAATTAATTTTGAAAAAATGGGATTAGCGCGTGTTCAGTTAGTGACAAGTGTAGTTTTCTATAACGGAGCCCTTTTTTTTCTGACAAAACCGTTACAGGGCTCACTGCTTTCTCTCTCTAAATTTACATACTCGCTGACACGTGGCACGTTTTCGTGGCTAAATTACTCTTGCTGTTCTTCTTCACTCGGTACATTTTAACTCAACCGCGTATTCATGATTACTTATTTACTTATTTTATCCACACACACACACACACATATATATATATATATATATATATATATATATATATATATATATATATATATATATATCTAGGGTGTTCACTGGCCGGTACTGACCGAATTGAACCGCAACAAAAATTTGGTTGGATTTTCGCGACAAATTTTTTGGAATTCCGGTATTCGGTGTGGTATAAGGTATGTATGCCAGTTTAAACATAGTTTTTATTTACATTTTAAGAATATATTTTTCGGTTTTTTATCGTTAATACTGAACAAAAAAAAAACGAACTAATTCGGTAAAAAGCCATACTGAACTGAATAGTTCGATTCGGTAAATGGTACAGATTTTCAAAGTACCTAAATTTCAGTTTATTGAAATTACCGAATAGTTCAATTCGGTAAACGGTACAAATTTTTGAAATACCGAAAAATTCAATTTACTGAAAGTCCGATACGATATTGCCGAATAAACACCCCTATATACCAATTCACCGTCTATTATATAGAAAAGACAATTTATCATATGTTTTAGTGGTTACTGGTAAGTGACACCTACACTTGCAAGTGTATAATGCAATTTTAGTAAATTGTTAAATATTATTTAGGTACGATTTCACCAATTAGATATAGCACGAAAATCTATTAAAACAATTAATAATAATAAAAAAAAAAACAATAATAAATTATTTCTAACCCTCAAAGTTGATACCATAAGATGGAAAGAATAACATATTGATTGTTTATTAATTGTGACATCAATTTTATTTTATCTATTAAACTATAATTAATTCGTACTTTTTATGGGTGCAGGTTTAGATTTATTTGTTTATAAGGGCATTATGCTGACATGGAAATTGATCGAGTGAAATGAGGGCATGTGTGGTCAAAACGAGGAAAAAGTTCGGACCTTAACCAAATTAGCACTACGACGGCCAAATCAGTTTCTTTCTAAGATGGTATAAACATTTTATAAGAACGAGAGACGTGATGATAAGTGAGATAATTTTACTGGCTCTAATTCAATAAGGCTCAACCTGCCGACAACGAGAGCTCTTCTTCATCGATTATTATTTTGAATCCACTGCAACAACTCATTATTTCGAAGTTGAGTGCCAAGGATTTGAAATTCATTAACAAACAAACAAATCCATCACAAAAAGCTCACGAATATGGGGCTGTTATCATGAATTCGAAACTCTTGAGTTCGAATCCTTTAATCCGAACACAACTCAAAATTAAAGCACGTCAATCAAGAACCATGAATACCTATTCGCCTAAGTTACCTCTAACTTGACAATAGATACACGAAAAACCATCCAAGCAAAAGCAGCAGATATGAATAATACCTTGTTGATTCATTTCCGTCAATCTCCGAGTTGTTATATCATATGACATAAAAGAGCTATCCGACAGTGTTCTACTCCAAAAATTTAGTCCCAAAGGAGAACTGAACAAGGGAGAATTCGCATTCTCCACATAACACTTCCCCAGGAATCATAGATTGATCTATACAGAACTTCATTGTACTGAAAATAATGAGATACGTAAATCTAAGTACAGGAATTTCTTATCCACAGTCTACGCATTCATCTTTGCGCTCGGGTAATAGTTGCCATTCAGAAACGACCCATGAGGTCAAGTACACTCAACTTGACAGGGAGGTTTTTAATGTTTCATATATCATAATTCGAGAATTAACTAATAGATGGAGATAGTGTCTTTGTGACCATCGAAACCTAGTTATTTTTTTTCATTTAACCGAATATTTATCTCTCTCCTTGTCTAGCATAATTTTGTCCACTATATACCGAAATTTTTAACCTTTTAAAACAATATAGGGCTTCATGTCAAAATTGTAACTCCACAAGTCGACTATCTTGGCTATAGACCCCCACGGTGCATCATTAGATCAAACACTGACAATGGCTGATCCGGTTTTCCAAAAGTTTCCAAGTAGCGCTTTGAAATATCATGCATTACCAGTTTACAGCTTCATACAAGAGGACTTGGGGTTGTAGGTGTCCTCTTTCACACATTGTAATAACATCATTCCAGCCACCAACTACCTATGAAAGAGAGATGAAGTACACACTGAGAGAGAGAGAGAGAGAGAGAGAGAGAGAGAGAGTCCAGGCGACATCTAGGAAATCGTACCTTCACAGTTTGGTCATCATACATAGTCCACCGATCATGCTCCCCACTGCAGGCGAAACAGTGATAGTGTTGCCCATAATAGCAAACCTGAAAGTGATAGGCAATTTGTTTTTGTCAAGAGTGGGTTAACAATGAAAGACTCGTAAACTTATTTGATATCGACATTTAACTCAACAAGGAGACAATGATACATTTACATAATCGAAACATACATCCAATGTCCGCATGGCATACACCAAAGGTGCATACTTTAGCAAATTAAAAAAAAAATGATAAGACAATTATCCTTCGACACTGGCTCCAAACATTGACTTTAGGTTAGAGAGAGCAAGGTCTTGAGATAAAACAACGACAATCTGACAGAAAAGACATGCTTGTATACATCAAAAGTTTAAAGCAATGTCTACAAGAACATACACACATAAAAAAGGAGAAGAAACATCTTCTTATGATCTCTATTTAAGACAGCTGTCCGTTTGATCCAGGTTTAGTAATAAATCTAGTCTACTTTTTTCTTCCCGGAAAGCGTCAGCTATACTATATGCCAGCAATACTCCACAATATTGAATAAGATAAAAAGGAAAAGCCGTGGGATTGGTTTATAATATGTGCAAAGCCAGCTACAATTTCCATGATCTCCAAAAGCATCATATCAGAGTACTCCATGTTATCAAAAGGTCAATCGATGCACAATACAGCAATGTAAACTTTGAAAATTGAATTCATAAGATTTAGCAATCATACCATTGAAACCAAGCGATGATGATTTTGTGGATCAAGACCGCGATAAAGGACACTGACATCAATCTCAGTAGAAAAAGCTGCTAATGTAGCTGTAATATCTTCAACACTCTCACGTTTATTCTGCCATCCTAGGACTATAAGGCACACAGATAAAATATTAACATCCATAAACAAAGAAACACTGTTCCGCACATGCAGAAGATAAGTAATTGGAGAATTTAAAAGAAATTGAAAATAAAGGAGAAATTATAAAAATAAGAAAGCTACCTATTGTGAAAACATGTGGTGGAGTGGAAAGAATATGGTGGATATAGTTACGCTCCCCACAACCACCAGCCTCTGGATCGCAAGTTAATTGGTGATTCATTTCAACCAGGCTCAGAAGCTTATCAAAGGAGTTTTCTGGGTGCATAACCTAAATGATAATAAATGGAATTGCATGGATTAAACATCTTGTCAAAAACTGATTCTTCTAGTTGTATAATCTTTAATGTAGATAATTGGATCTAAAAAGACATGCCTTCATTGTTCTCAGAGCACTGGCATTTATATTGTGAAAGAAAGATGTGTATTTCATGCGTCTGGACTCAAACCCACAGTTGTAACAGTTCATTCTCTCTAATATGCCCATCCCAAAAATTGAATGTGCAACACAGGAGGAGCTTGTGCAGTTGCTATCTACCGATTCCATACCAGACGCAACAGATGTAGTAGAAGTGAATGATTGATGGAGACAACTAAATATTACCGCCAGCACTTCAGAAGCATCATTCATCTGACCCTGTAGGACCACCACAGCTCAGTCATATATTTGGAAAGAGTTTCTAACCTCATAGTGGAGTTACGGGTATACTGTTAAATATATATCTTCTGAAAGAAACATACATTGTATTAAAACCACAAATGAATAAAAAGCCATAGAGTAACAGAAGCAGGAGTTACCTGCTGGAAGAAATTACTATTAGGATACAAATTGCTTAGAGCAATTCTCAACGAGGTAGGCGCAACAGCTTCTTTTGTTTTATCCGTAGATGCCATGTTCAGAGCAATCAGGATATCATATAGAGCACATATAACACAAGGATCACCAACGTGAACATGTTTTGACAACGATCTCGACAAGAATTCATCTCGGAACCGTCTCAAGTGCCACAAGGACTGAATGACAAAAAAATAATCTCAGCCCAAGGAAAATAGTACTTTCAGGACTTATAACAAATTAGCAAGTGAAACTATCCCATGAAACAATAAAGAACAGCATATTTTAATACTAACCTGTATTATGACATTGAGAAAGCAGTTATATTGACCAACTTCGTTTTTCAGCCCTGTTCCATATGTATCCTTTCTAATATCACCATCTGTCATAACTACATCACATGAAACACACGACTCATTAGATTCTAAAAGATCCTTTTGTGGATTGCAGAATTCAACATCAAATGTAGGGCCTGATTCTTACAAAATATTGGACACATAAATAGAGCATGATTGTGGAAATAAATAGATGAAAACCATCCCCCTAATTTTCTTTGAATAAGAAGATAAATTCGGCATCTGTTGAGTAGAAAAATATTGAGGTAGAAAATGGTGAACAAGAAGAAAATTATTAGGTCAGTCTGACAACAGTTCTAGATCCAATTGTACAGGCTCTAATAGAAGAGAACATTACCATTGGTCAAAGAATGAAAAGATGAAAGTTATGTCAATATTCACTCCATTGTGAGGGTCCTTTAGGAAAAGCGTTACAGTTTTAGGGAGGGAGTCTTACTTCAAAATGTCATAAAAATGAATTAGGAACAAAAATTTGTCAGAGAAAATATATCATGCAGCTTAAAGTAGAAGCACAAACGAAAGATAAACAGAAAACAGAGATGAGGACCAATACCAAGGCTTTGGTCTACAGCTTTCTTAAGGTCAGCTTGAAACCTTTCTTCGTCATCATCCTCTGCCTGAAGCTCTCTCAATGTTTTTGCTTCATTATCTATTAAATTTACAACATAGCAAGACTTGATCAACTACATCGAAGCAATAAAAACAGTAACAAAATAATTGATAGGTTGATAACAGAAGAGCTAACAGGCTTTAAAGTCATTGCTATAGCATTATTAATTAAACTTGCTAAATATCCTGTGGAATTACATAAAATCAACAAGAGAGTTTTGCATCAGCACCTGTACGTATATTAAGAACATACGAAATAACTGTCCCGTAAGGTGTCAATACAATTCCACCAGCAGAAAACTAAAATGTAACCAAAATACAGAAGATACACTATTTCACTATTTTTACTAAAAGTGCATACCGCCATCACCATGGGAATTTTGCCCGGTTCTAGGTTGACCAGGGTCAGCATCTTTCTTTTCAGGAATCGGAAATTTTGTTGGACCCTTGTGCCGTCTACCTCTCCTTCCTGAGCGTTGGTCAGAAACAAAACCACCATCCTGTGGAATACCTTCATTTGGTAAGCCTGCAAATAGGATTGAATGATGCCATGCATAATATTGAGTCAGCTCAAATTAAATAAAAGAGAAGGGTAAATCTGGTTAATCAACAATATCAATAAAGATTGCTACCAGTTTTCAGCACAGGCGTATTAGCAGTGTCCGCGCCATCCGCAGTGTCAGCAAAACCATCCTTATGCACCAAAGATTCCTATAGAAATGTCAGTTTATACATCTATTAATATTTTTTTTTCCTTGAAACAGAAGTAACCTTTTAACTTTAAACCATGGAAAAGCGCATTCGTCTTCCGGAGATAATTAGCAAAAGTATAATGCAAATGCCTTATTTTTCACAAGGACAACCTTACAAAGGCCAAGCTCACCTTACTATGGTCACTGGCATATTTTTCATCATCACTATGCCTCAAATGAGCATCCGCCATTGCCACAGTTTCTGTGCTGTCACTAATTATTCTGGAAAGCCGTTGCTGTTTCTCAGCTAGGCGTTTCTGTTTGGCCTCATTCTCTATACGCCTTTGATATTCCAAAGTTTCTTCTAGCTTTCTTTCTTCGGCTTCAAGTTCAATTCTGCGTTTGTACTCCTCGTAATTTAGTTGTAAGGCATCATCAGGTGCAGGAACAGCAATCACGGAACCTGGACCGTCCTCCCCATGAGCACTTGGAAGCAATCTAAAGCAAGATAAAAATAAGCAAAATCACGGTGATGAATTCGACATATTTTTTTTCTGGAAGATATATGTGAAGCATTTGCAATAATATGCTATGCTTTATGAGGGAAAGAAAGACATACATCTTCTCTTCAGCAGTCTGATCTTGCAACTCATCACTATTAATAACCTGTTCAATGCGATAACCAGAAAGGAGGGTTATCAGAAGTTAGTTTAACAATTCTTCTTTGAGATGAATAACATTATCAATTATCACAACATTCGAACCTTTGAATCCTTGTTTTTCCTGTTGTCCTTGCTTTTCTTCTTGTCCTTTGTCCTGTCGTGCGAGTGTCTTGAACTATCAACTCCTGCACTGACCTTTTTGGAATCACGATCAAGTTCGGCTAGAAGTGCCTCCCTGACAGCATCAGATTTTTCTGTAGCATCTTTCTCTGCCAGATCTTCCAAGCGTGCCTGCCAAAAGATAAAAACAATCTAGTTCATCTGCAAAAGGGATTAGGATAGTTGGGAAACTTTGCTGGAAACAGTGCTTCACAAGATACTAACCCGCATAAATGATTTCACCAGAGGGATTAAAATTGACCGAAAATCATGTGAAGATGCAGGATCAAGCTTAACTTCCAACTGCTGCATTTCAGCTATTATTCGCATGAGTCTTGCGTCTATTTTGCTGATCTGGATCATTGAGAATGTGATATTAATTTACAAGGAACACAACTGCTTAGAAAAATAAAAAACGAGAACTAAGGGGCCAAACCTCAATAGAAACTGTTTCTTTCTGTCTCTGTATTGCAGCTTCTATGTAAGAGTCCACCTGATGTATGTAGTCCTTTGTTCTCCACTCATCATCTTCACCAGATTCTAGGTCACACAGATGAGATGTAACACTACTATATGTTTCTTCAAAACCAAATTGGTTGATATTTAGGGAATCTGCATCCTTCAGAACATTTGATATAGCATCTAACTCAAATCTATTGCACATAATTGTTAATTCATTCTCATTTTCAATGAGCTCTTCGCGCCTCTTTTTAAGGACAGAGTCGTAACTTTGAAAGACAAAATCTGCCACGTGCTCTCTCTTTTTACCCTCTTCCAAACACAGATCCCCCACAGCCTGCAATGCCTCCTCATAACTCACATGCTCACATTTTCTATCGCACAAGCCCTGCAGATGGTAAGATTCCTTCTCAAGCAACTGGAGAACTTCCAGACCTTGCTGAGCTTTCTCTGCTCTCTCTTGTTGCCAGGATGCTAATTGTTCACTACTTGAAGGCCCAGTAAATATCCAGGACAATAATGCATCTGAATCAAGTATACCACCATTATCATAGCTGCCATGGGATGAAGTAAGTGCACTGGAAACATTGTTAACACCATCACCACGAGGGATCTTGCAGGGAATAAAATGTTCATCAAGCACAAGAAATGAAGCATCACTGCTAAAAACTATCTTCTCCAGAGTGTCAACAGAGTGCATCACGGTATTTGTATCGTCTCCCCTGTTACTCTTGTCGGAATATCTATTAAATGCGCAAGCCTGAGAAATTTCCTGCAAAAATATCAGGATTTTTTTAAGATCCGGAGCACCCAAAAAACAGATGCTCAGAGGTGTCTGGTCCACTTTGGAATTGAGTTGAGAACCACTAGCTATAGCGTGCAGCTCCTCCACTGCAAAGTTCATAATCTTGCTAAGGTGACTTGAAGCCATATACTTGTTTCTTATAAGTGTCTCAAAAATGGAGTGGATTCTTTCTAGAAGCTTTGCACGCTCGGCGTCATCAGACAGAGGCCAGTTTTTATTAAGTAAACTTTCCTTACTACTTAGATCTCCATCACAGTCCATCCACTCAACATCTTCAAATTCCTTGCTGTTCTGTACAATACCATTGCCATTATCACCAGATTTGTTCTTTCCAGGTGATGCATCCCATTCATATTCATTGGAGTAAGTGTCGACGAAGCATTCTTTTGAATCATCTGCATTGTGACTATTACATGATTCATCAAGTAAATCAGGTGAGTCCGGTTTTGGCTGTTTCTGAAGCATCCTAATTGATGCATTTAAGTCCAAAGGTTTCCAAGAGCAGTTAAGAAGCATTTCCGCCCATTCATTCTCCACGTTTTGGGGTAGAATTGACTGCATTTTGGGTACCAAACTTCCCATATGCTCCTGAACAACATGCTGCATCAATAAACCAGCATCAGCGAATTTCTCGTTGCAGCGACAGCATTCCCAAAACCTCCATACTTTATTTGTTTCCCCAAAAGATAAAGCTTCATCAAGCATTTCACTCGGCAACCCATCCTTTGATGAACTAAAATGTGCCTTTAGATCCGAAATCTTAATTCTCAGGCATTCTTTCTTCCCATCCAAATTCATTGAGTTCCAAAATGTTCGGACCAAATCCCTCCTCTCATCCGTAGATGTATTTTTCCTCGCATTCCCACTTTTCCTTCTTTCCCCCACCCTCGAACCCGACCCTGGACCATTCTCCGGCCCTTTGCTATTGTTTTTAGTATTATCCCCCTCTTTTTTCAACTGAGCAGACTCCGAGTTCTGCTGCACAAATCGAGCTGCAGTCACTCTCACCTCAATTTCCTTCCTTCGCTCCTCAGGCGTCTTAGCCACCTTCTTAATCTCATTTGGCCTCCTTGCCTGAACTAATCCCTGCTCCATTGGATCATCAGGCACTCTCCTGATAGGAATCAACCGAAACTTCTCGTCGCCATTGCCGAGATTTTTCATCCAAGTTGAAATAGATGCAATATTCGACTTCTGAATCAACGAACGGAGCTCATTCTGAACATGGACAATTCGTGCCTCGGCGGTAGAAATTTTCTGCTGGTTCTCCTCTTGCAGACTCTCCTTGGCAGGGTCCACGGGGTTTTCTATTGCCAAAGCCCTCTCACACTCTTGCACCACCTCCTCATACTCCTTGGCCTCATTCGCCGCCTCGTACATCAAATTCGCGTAGAAGTGTCCAAACTCCACGGAATTAGGGGACAGCGTGACAGCAGTTCTCGCACTCTCAATTGCATTCCTCAAATGCCTCTGTTTGGCATTTGTGTCATCGATTAGGGAAGCCACCTTCACGCAGACAGTGCCCTGAACACGATGAATCAAGGCAGAGTGTGGGGAATTCTCCTGTTTCGAGGTCAAATCTTTCATCACTCTTAGGGCTCTGGTGTAGTTACCACGGCGGAGTGCCGTGAGTGCTCGCTCGCATTCAACTTTCACCGCGGAATAGGATGGGGAAGGGTTTGCGCTGCTATGGTCCGATTTCGCCGCGGCGCGGTCTGGGGAATGGTCGGTGTTCGTACCACCACCGTTGGTAATCGGGGCGTCCGCCGGCGGCGATGACGGCGGTTTGGAGGGTTTGGAACGAGGAACGACGTTCCGCTTCTTATGCCCCATTTGTTTCTCAGATTTTCCACCAGCGGGTATCAAATTGCATGCATAAATCCTACAACTATGTCTACTGAATCTGTAAAAATTCCATATCGGCTGTATCTATATTCTGTATAAATGCATACCGATAGATAGATACAGCACCAAACGCAGAGAGAGCGAGAGAGAGACTTACAAATCTCGGAGAAGAACGACGGAAAGTGGAGCGGTTACACAGAATTACAGCATACACCTTTCTGATAGTATACCGATATATGTATATATATATATCATCAATCTATATATGTATACACATACTTGTAAGTATAGATGGATTATGTGTATTTTGTGTGTGGGTTTGTGTGTGTGTGTGTGTGTGTGTGTGTGTGAAAGAACACACCTAACCAGTTGGGTTGGACTGTGGAGGGGTTTGAGAAATGAATTTACAAAACCATATTTTCTTATTTGTTATTTATTATTTATTATTTATTATTGGTAAATATGAACTTGTGAAATTACACATTACCCCATAGTACTTAAGAAAATTACATAATTGGTAATATTTTTTAAATTCCAATAATTATTATACAGGCTAGTGAACTTTCAAAAAGATTGAAGGCCACCAATAATTGCATGCAATGCTATTGCTATGAGGCAAAATTGGCAACTTTTGATGGATTCTTCTCAAGTTAAAATGGATAATAAATTTAAATATTTTATATTTCAGTGAATTTAAAATAAAATCCAACACCTCGAAATGATCTGTAAACTATTAATAGTTCATAAATTCATGTATATTTTTAGTTATCCTTGAATTTTAATTTCACCCCTAAAATTTTACAATGTGTCAATTTGCTCCATTTTCATTTTTATCTTTAGAATTTTAATTTGGTTACAATATGTTGGTATAGAAAGAAATGCACAAGTAGAATAGCTAAACACAAATATGTGAAACCAAAAAGAGATTTTATTAAGGAAAGTTTTGACTAGTGATGAACAAAATTCGGGCCAGGCCCGTAAAGCCTGCCGGCAACTCTTTTTTTTACGAAATTACAATTCTGCCCTCTGCAGCAACTCTTTTATTAGGCAAGGAACAGCAATCCCGGAACCTGAACCGTCCATCCTCATGAGCACTTGGAAGCAATCTAAAGCAAGATAAAACGTAAGCTGATGAATACGACATACTTCTTTTACGGGAGGGGAAATATGTGAAGCATTTGCAATAGATATGCTATGGATGCTTTACGAGGTAAATAAAGACGTACGTACATCTATTCAGCAGTCGGATCTTGCAACTCGTCACTATTAGTAACCTGTTCGATGCCATCCACGGTGTCAGCAAAACCATCCTTATGCACCAAAGATTCCTATAGAAAAAATGTCAGTTTACACATCTATTAATATTATTTTTTTTTTCCTTGAAACAGAAGTAACCTTTTAACTTTGAACCATGGAAAAGCGCATTCGTCTTCCGGAGATAATTAGCAAAAGTCTAATGCAAATTTCTTATTTTTCACGAGGACAACCTTACAAAGGCCAAGCTCACCTTACTATGCTCACTGGCATATTTTTCATCATCCGCCATTGCAACAGTTTCTGTGCTGTCACTAACTATTCTGGAAAGTTCTTGCTGTTTCTCAGCTAGGCGTTTCTGTTTGGCCTCATTCTCTATACGCCTTTGATATTCCAACATTTCTTCTAGCTTTCTTTCTTCGGCTTCAATTTCAATTCTGCGTTTGTACTCCTCGTCATTTAGTTGTAAGGCATCATCATCAGGTGCAGGAACAGCAATCACGGAACCTGGACCGCCCTCCCCATGAGCACTTGGAAGCACTCTAAAGCAAGATAAAAATAAGCCAAATCACGGTGATGAATTCGACATATTTTTTTCTGGAAGATATATGTGAAGCATTTGCATTGATCTTGCATTTGCTTTATGAGGGAAAGAAAGACATACATCTCTTCAGCAGTCTGATCTTGCAACTCATCACTATTAATAACCTGTTCAATGCGATAACCAGAAAGGAGGGTTATCAGAAGTTAGTTTAACAATTCTTCTCTGAGATGAATAACGTTATCAATGATCACAACATTCGAACCTTTGAATCCTTGTTTTTCCTGTTGTCCTTGCTTTTCTTCTTGTCCTTTGTCCTGTCGTGCGAGTGTCTTGAGCTATCAACTCCTGCACTGACCTTTTTGGAATCAAGAGCAAGTTCGGCTAGAATTGCCTCCCTGGCGGCATCAGATTTCTCTACAGCATCTTTCTCGGCCAGATCTTCCAAGCGTGCCTGCCAAAAGATCAAAACAATCTAGTTCATTTGCAAAACGGACTAGGATCGTTGGGAAACTTTCTAAGAAACAGTGCTTCAAAAGATACTAACCCCCATAAATGATTTCACCAGAGGGATTAAAATTGACCGAAAATCATGTGAAGATGCACGACCAAGCTCAACTTCCAATTTCTGCTTTTCAGCTATTATTCGCATGAGTCTTGCGTCTATTCTGCTGATCTGGATCATTGAAAATGTGATATTACTACAAGAAACATAACAGCTTAGAAAAAATTAAAAACGAGAACTAAGGGGCCCAAACCTCAACAGAAACGGCTTCTTTCTGTTTCTGTATTGCAGCTTCTATGTAAGAGTCCATCTGTTGCATATAGTCCTTTGTTCTCCGCTCATCACCTCCACCAGATTCCAGGGCACACAGAAGAGATGTAACACATCGGTTGATGTTTACGGAATCTGCATCCGCCAGCACATTTGATATAGCATCTAACTCAACTATATTGCTCATAACTGTTAAACCATTCTCATTTTCAATGAGCTCTTCGCGCCTCTTGTTAAGGACAGAGTCGTAACTTTGAAAGACAAAATCTGCCACGTGCACTCTCTTTTTCCCCTCTTCCAAACACCGATCCCCCAAAGCCTGCAATGCCGCCTCATAACTCAATTGCTCACGTTTTCTCTCGCACAAGTTCCGCAGATGGGAAGATTCCTCCTCGAGCAACTGGAGAATTTCCATGCCTTGCTGAGCTTTCTCTGCTCTCTCATGTTGCCAGAATGCTAATTGTTCACTACCATGCTCATAGCTGCCATCGGATGAAGTAAGTGCACTGGAAGCATTGTTAACACCATCACCACGAGGGATCTTGTCGGGAAGAAAATGTTCATCAAGCACAAGAAATGAAGCATCACTGCTAAAAACTATCTTTCCCAGAGTGTCGTCAACAGAGTGCATCACGGTATTTGAATCGTCACCCCCCTTACTTTTGTCAGAATATCTATTTAATCCGCAAGCCTGAGAAATTTCCTGCAAAAATATCAGAATTTTTTCAAGACGCGGAGCACCCAAAAAACAGATGCTCAGAGGGTCCTCCACTGCAAAGTTCATAATCTTGCTAACGTGACTTGAAGCCATATACTTGTGTCTTATAAGTGACTCAAAAATGGAGTGGATTCTTTCTAGAAGCTTTGCACGCTCGGCGTCATCAGACACAGGCCAATTTTTACTTTGATCTCCATCACATTCATATTCATCTGCATTTTGACTAGCGCTTGACTCATCAAGTAAATCGGGTTTCTTGGGTTTTGACTGTTTCTGATGCATCGTAATTGATGCATTTAAGTCCAAGGGTTTCCAAGGAATGTTAAGAAGCATCTCCGCCCATTCATTATCCACGTTTTGGGGTAGAACTGACTGCGTTTCGGGTAGCAAACTTCTCATATGCTCCTGAACAACATGCTGCATCAATGAACCAGAATCAGCAAATTTCTCGTTGCAGCGACAGCATTCCCAAAACCTCCATACTTTATTTGTTTCCCCAAAAGATAAAGCTTCATCAAGCATTTCACTCGGCAACCCATCCTTTGATGAACTAAAATGTGCCTTTAGATCCGAAATCTTAATTCTCAGGCATTCTTTCTTCCCATCCAAATTCATTGAGTTCCAAAACGTTAGGACCAAATCCCTCCTCTCATCCGTAGATGTATTTTTCCTCGAGCCCGAACCTCGACCATTCTCGGACCCTTTGCTATCGTTTTTAGTATTATGAGCATACTCCGAGTTCTGCTGCACAAATCGAGCTGCAGTCACTCTCTCCTCGATTTCCTTCCTACGCTCCTCAGGCGTCTTAGCCACCTTCTTAATCTCATTTGGATCCTCAGGCACTCTCGTGATAGGAATCGGACAAAAGTTCTCCTCTCTGATTTCGAGAGCTTTCAACGAAGCTAAAACAGACTTCTGAATTAACGAACGGAGCTCATTCTGAACACGGGCAACTCGTTCCTCGGCGGTAGAAATTTTGTTCTGGCTCTCCTCTTGCAAACCCTCCTCGGCAGGGTCCACGGGGTTTTCTATTGCCAAAGCCCTCTTACACTCTTGCACCACCTCCTCATACTCCTTGGCCTCATCCACCGCCTCGTACATCAAACTAGCGTAGAATAGTCCAAACTCCACGGAATTAGGGCACAGCATAGCAGCCTTCCTCGCGCTCTCAATTGCATTCCTCAAATGCCTCTGTTTGGCATTTGTGTCCTCCATAAGAAAAGCCACCTTCACACAGACAATGCCGTGAACACGATGAATCAAGGAAGCGTGTGGGGAATTCCCGTATTTCGAGGAAAAATCGTTCATCAATCTTAGGGCTCTGGTGTAGTTCCCACGGCGGAGCGCCGTCAGGGCGCGCTGGCATTCAAGCTTTATCGCAGAATGGGACAGAGAAGGTTTTGCGCTGCTATAGCGTTCCAAATCCGTGACCTCCGATTTCGCAGCGGCATCCGCCGCCGGTGAATTACCTAGGGCATTGTCGGGGTTGGAAGACAGGGTATCCGCCGCCGGTGAATTACCTAGGGCATTGTCGGGGTTGGAAGACGGAGGATCCGCCGCCGGTGAATTGTCTGGGGAATTGTCGGGGTTGGAAGACGGGGGATCCGCCGCCGGTGACGGTGATTTGGAGGGTTTGGAGCGATTAACGACGTTCCGCTTCTTGCGTCCCATTTTTTCTACAAATTTTCCGGCGGTTACTTAATTGCATGCATAAATTCTACAACTATGTCTACTGAATCTGTAAAAAATCTACATCGTCTGTATCTATATTCTGTATAAATGCATATCGATACATAGATACAGCACCAAACGCAGAGAGAGAGAGAGACTTACAAATCTGCAAATCTGGAGAAGAACGGCGGAAGCGGTTACTTAATTGCATGCATAAATTGTACAACTATGTCTACTGAATCTGTAAAAAATCTACATCGGCTACTATCTATATTCTGTATAAATGCATATCGATGTATAGATACAGCACCAAACGCAGAGAGAGAGAGAGAGAGAGAGAGAGAGAGAGAGACTTACAAATCTGCAAATCTGAGAAGAACGACGGAAGCGGTTACACAGAATTACAGCATACACTTTTTTGATAGTGTACCGATGTATATATATATATAGAGAGAGAGAGAGAGAGAGAGAGAGAGAATATATATATATATATCTATATATATATTCGTCTCTCAACGAATTACAGTTACCAATTAATTGTGTATTTAATTAAAAGATTAATATTACTTTAGTAGAGTAATTAGTCCCTTGCAGTGTAATTAGTTAAGGTTTGTTAGATAGTGGTTCCAACTTCCACACTTTCTGCGGTAGTTTGCAATTTTTATGTTGTATTTAAATATTTAAATATTGTTATGGTTAGTTAAAAAACACATGCACATAAATGTATTATTTAATTCCTATTTTAAATAAAAATGACTCACAATCCAATAACAAATTAATTTTATATTTTTAGTCATCTTAAAATTGTACTTTCGTCCCTAAAATTTATATTTGTATCAATTTGCTCCATTTTCACTTTAATCTTTAAAACCCAAAGAGGTTTGTAGTTTTTCTTGTATTTTGCAACTTCGCAGTTTTAATTAATAATAATTTCAATAATATTTTTTTTTAATAAATATCAACATTCCTTGTGTGTTTTTCATATACCAATAAAATATAAAATAATATTTTTAGTAAATATGTATATATTACTCATGTATTAATTTTAAAACAATTTTATAAATTTTATACTCGTTCTATTTGATAATTTATACTATTTTATTATTATGACTTTATATTATAATCACCTAATTAATAAACGGTTGGTAGTTATAACAAATTAACAACCACAACAATAGCAGCAGCAGCAGCAATAATAATAATAATAATAATAATAATAATAATAATAATAATAATAATAATAATAATAATAATAATAATAATAATAATAATAATAATACTTTTCAATTTTTCTTTCACTCTTCTCTCTCCCTCTTAACACCAATTAGTAATTACTCACCGTACAAGGCGAAGGCAGCGCTGGGGCCAACGTCGATTTACGTTAATCAACTATAAAGTCATAGTCAATTAACGTAAATCGACTGCAGAATTCATAATCGATTAACATAATTCGGTTACAAGATTTGTCGAAGTTTTGTTATGGGCTGTGGCAGAAATATAGCATCCGCACTGCACGGCGGAGGCCTAGATCGGTTGGCGATTTCGTAAATAAGAAGGCTGTTTTCGATACAAATAGGAGAACTCTATCGTATTTGGGGCGAAATGGAGCGCAATTGTCGCGATTTAATTTTTGAATTTCCGTAATTAAATAAGATTGAAAAATTAAAAAACCTGCAGATTATAATAAAACTATGGAATTACAACAACTTTCAGGCACCCATCTAATTCATTAGAACAAATCAAAGAGGTAATAAATCCAATTCAAAATATAATAAACTACAAAATATTACCTCAAAACCTGCCAAAAAAAAAAAAATCAAAAATTCACCTACACATAATAATAATAATAATAATAAATATATAAAATTCATTACATATACTAAACTCCGAACGACAAAACCGGGGCCCACACGAAAAAAAACGCTACAGCAAATGCATCCTCTCTACATAAGACTGAAGTAGCCACCTATTAAGACTCTCACCACAGCCAATAAAACACCCGGAATTCCCGTTCTCGGTAAAAAACGGAAACCCGAACATACTCAGCAATTCTTGAACCGACTGCCTCACGAGCGACGTACCCGTAACCCGGCTCCTTCTGCCCCACCCCGTCACAATATCAATGCGCGTAGGGCAAAGGCCCGTCTCGATCATCTCTCTCCTAAACCAAGCGAGAGTCCTCGATAGGGCGGTGACAGCTGTCCCATCTGACATCACGTGCAAGTTTATCAGCCAATACGAGGAGCTCTTCCGCCTCACTGCGTCAGGATAAACGTTCCGCTGCGCCGCCACCTCCCAAACGGACCCTGCCTCCTCCTTCAGTCCCGTTTTGTGGAAGAAGTCGATCACGGCGTCCACCAAACCCCGTTTACTCTCCCTATCCTCGCTGTGCATCATGTCGAGAAAACTCCCCACATGGTCGCGTACGTTTTGACCCGTGGGGCCCGGTGCGGGCATCGAGAGAAGAAAATTATGCGCGGGGTGACCCGTCACCGTCATAAGCTCGCAGCAGAACCCCATATCGAACGAAGTCTGCGCTTCGGTACAGCAGCTTAAAAGCAGCGTATACGTCTGAAGAGAAGGGTTTAAACCTAGCTGCAGCATGCTCTGTAGCAAATCGTACGCGTCTCTAAGGCGGTGTACTCTAAGAAAAGCACTGAGTAACGAATTGCACGTCGGCACGTTAGGGCACAATCCCGCGCTCAGCATCGCGCGGTACCACTCGCGCGCCTTCTCCACGTTACCCGATTTACCCCACAGGTCAACTAGAAGACCGTAAACCGGTTCGTCGGGCACCCAGTTCTTCCTCTTCATCTCCGAGAAAACCGCCTCCGCTTCTTCCAAGTAGCCGCAGTGCCCGAGAACCTCCATCACTATACTGTACGTCACTTTATCGGGGTGGAATCCAGCGCTTTGCATGTCGCGGTACAGCTGCAACGAGCTCTGGTAGTTCCTCGCCTTTGCGTGCAAGGCGATCATGATATTGTACGTGACTAAATTCGGGACGCAGCCCTGATCGACCATCTCGCAGAAGAGCTTGTGGGCTGCCGCCAGGTGTCCCGCTTTGCCGAGGCAGTTGATTATTACGCTGTACGTGAACGTATCGGGCGAAAGCCCCGCTTCCTGCATACGCTGGTACATATCTATGGCTACGTCTAGGTACCCTGCTTTCGCGTGGATGTCGATGAGCGTACAGTAAGTAACACGGTCCGGCTCGCAGCCTAGCTTTCTCATCTCGTTGAAAACATTCACCGCTTCTTGCAAGTAGTTAGCTCTTCCGTAACTGTGGATTATTCGGTTGTACGTGACTGTGTTAGGGTGGCACCCGTCTTTTATCATCTGATCGAGGAGTTTGTCGATAGCAGCGAATTGTCTTGCTCGACCGAGTATGCCAACCATGGTTGTGTACGTGTGACCGTCGTGCTTGAACCCTGGTTTGCGCTTCAGCCAGTAGAAAAACCCGAGAGCTACCGTATAGTCTTGGAGCTGCTTGAGGATTTGGTTCGCTTGGTACGCGTCTAAAGTGCAGTTGAGCTTACAAAGAGCTTCCTCTGTCGGTGGGCCCCACTGGAGGTGGTGCAAGATTCGAGAAACACTTTCAACTATCGGGCTAGAAGTTGAAAAAGGCCTAGCTTGAGCTGGTCTAGTAATAACTACTTTCGTGTGTCGAATATCCTTAGCGAAAACTTCCGATTTGTTGCCGCCTAACTTCCCTTCTACGAATTTGTTCGAATAAGCTCTCGATTTTTGAGCAACCGGCCTTTTCCTCTCGCGGGTTTCCACGAAAAATTCGGACGCATTATCTGATTCATTTGCTGCTACAAAACCCTTTCCGAAACCCGAACTATCGGCTCTACTCTTTGTGTCGTAGCTAGACACTGGTTCGGAAGATGGTTTTACGTACGCTTTGTCCTTTCTTGATGTCTTAACATTTGCAGGTCTGACATTAGAAATCGTCTTCGTACGATCGACCATAGAATTAGGCGCAGACGTGTTGTGCATCGCGCTGCCATCTGTCATCGGGATTCTGTAGTTCACTAAATCGGACAAAAGACCTACTGCAGCCATACCCGCCTTAACGAAATGGTCTGCTATAGGAGGCGAAGAATAAACTACGTTGTCCTTTTCATCGAAGTCGTCTTCGTAACTAACAAAGTTCGCTCTGTTCAGTACACGGGGTGTAGGCACTACTTGTGGCTGAGGGGCATTTTCGGGTTTCTTGGAATTCGCTTCTTTTATCGAATCGACTGAGGTAAGTGAAGCGACTCCGACAGAAGCCTTCGACAATAATTTGGACGACGATTGCAAGTGCTTCACGTTTGCTCCGAGAGGTCTTCTAGAAGCACAAGTCTCGTCATCGCAGCATGTGCACGAACTTCCGTCTGCTGCACTGCATCTCGATCCACTTAGGAAGAACGACCTTGCTGACTGAGATAATGTACCGAGATTCTTTGCTCGTAACATTTTTTTTCTGTAGAAACAAGTGGTTAAAAAATCGAACAATTAATCTCGACTCATTCGCGATAATAACAAACGAGGATTAAAGGAAGAAAGAATTCACCAGAAGCACTAATGAGAAGAGCAGCCTAATAGTGCCACAACTGAATCATCTATACCAAGAAACGGCAGAAAAGATGAATGCCGTAATCTGGAAAAAAAATAAAAATAGAACGATAAAATGTTGTTAAGCTGAAAAAAGTATATATATATGAACTAGCAGCTGGAAGGTTTACCCAATTTAAAATATATATTAAAAAAGGTTGAAATAAAACGAAGAGAAGGAATAAACGGAACCTGCAAAAGATAAATTATGAAAATTTGAAGCTCTAATTAGTGCCATCAGTAGTGAATATTTGGGGCTGCCGGTAATTGTGTATGCAACCTACGGTTGTACAAATTTTGGTTGATAATCAGTATCAACCACAAGGTAATCACTATTTTTTTTTTCTTTTTCGACCGAAAAAAAAAATAAAAAAAAACAAGCGAAATGGTAATGTAACGAAAGGAATTCCAACGGTCAATTAATACTAAACCATCGACTGAAGCACTTGTGCAGCCATAGTTACTGAAGAACAACCATACCTTTTCATTACAAAAATATAGTTACACGTGATAACAAGATATTAATACAATACGACAGCCGACAAATATAGCGCACGAGATAAATAGTGTACCAAGTTTGATCAATGAAAGAAACTATAAACAAGTTACTTCTCTGATCAATCAGGAAAACTTTCGGCACTTCGATCAAAGTAAAAATTGTTCCTTTTAATATTAGTATTATTCAGCTCATCGTGTGAGAAAGACTAAACCGTAAGTTGTTATAGGACATACGAAACTAAACTAAATCTTTCTTCCCCCAACCCCAAGGAAATAGCAATAGAAGAGGAAAAAAGATAGCTTTTTGCACAAGGCAATACGAAAAATATAAACACAATCGAAAAGGGCCGAAAAATCGAAGCGGGGTTTTAGCTTCGGCAGGCAGAAAACACCCAAACAAATCACTATGAATACAGAAACTTACAATCAGACCCCTGTATAAAAATGCAATCTTTAATCATAATCTAATCAAAATGAAACACTATTGTTCATCACAACACAAAAATCACACGAGGGAACGAAAAAAACAAAACAATAAAAATTCAATCTTTCTTCCAATAAATCAATTAATTAAAAAAAAAAACCACATTACAAAAACATCACAACAAACACTTGACAGCAAGTGATTCTCATCATAATCACTAATACAACTCAAGAACACACAGTACACAGTAAAAGCTACAATCTTGTACACTTAAAAGAAAGAAAAAATAAACAGAGTCAAATAATGAGAAGAAAGTACCTATAAATGGTGTTCACGGAGACCCCGGAAGAATCAAACAAAGTGTTTCTTGATGAAATTACACAAACAGAATAAAAATATTAAATTAAAAAAAAAAAGAAAAAAAAAAAGAAAAAGAAAAAACTATGGAACAGAGGAAAGGTTAAAGGAGGCGGCTGTTGTGTTTTTCTGTAATCGACCTAATAGAGTTTTTCTTCCAAGCAACTTGGTGTGTGTGTGTGTGTGTGTGTGTGTGTGTGTGTGTGTGTGTTGTGTTCCACAAGACTGTAACTTTTTCTCTCTCTCTCTCTCTCTCTCTCTCTCTCTCCTCTTTCTCTCTCTACTTTTATTTTTTTGTTATTTTAAAATTTACCTTTTTTCTTTTTTTTCTTGGGTAAATTACAAACACCACCCTGAGGTATGGTCAATTTACACAAAGACCCCTATTGTTTGGATAATTACATATACCCCCCTCAACTATGTTTTTTTCTTACACATCCACCTTTATGGTGTCAGATTCAACATAATCATCTAGATTTCGGGGAATGTGCTCGAGTTTGTACTCGTTTTGAGTAAAAATACAGTTTCTGATGCACCACAATCTGATATATACAAGACAAAAAACACATATTATGATCATCTTGCTTCAAAATGTAGAGTTCGAATGGGATAAAACGGGTACAAAAGTGATAATATTCCATATAATCGCGAAGATTTCACTAAATTTGAGGAGTTGAGGGGGTGGTTGTAATTATCCAAACAAAAGGGGGATTTTCGTAATTTAACCATACCTCAGGGTGTGGTTGTAATTTATCCTTTTTTCTTTAAATGATTTTTGAGGTTAATGAATGTTTGTGTGTTTGGGATTTTTTTTTAATTTTGTTATTTGCAATAGTTAGGAGGAGAGAGTTTTGTGATTTGAATGGGTGCCACGTGTCGTTACATCCACGGTTCATCTGTCACAGTTGGAAAGGTCTAGGCACCGCATTGGATTTGCTATTTATTATATATCATTATTATAATTATTAATTAATTTATTTATTACTATTGTTAATTTCCTTTCTGGCTACGATTTTTTGTGCTTGATTTTAGGATTCTTGATTTTGACTTTTGGAGTCCACGAGGGGGTTATTATGCTCTGCGGTTGTCTGCATTGACCTAGTTGTGAGCCTATTATTTTATTCACGGAATATCATTTTTATCCCTCAAGTTTGAATCGATTTTCCATTCAGTCCCCTATGTTACAAAAAGAACATATTTATTCTCTCATATTTCAAAAATTCAACGTTTTTTTTTTGTCGTTTTTGTTAATTTGTTAGTACTAATGGAATGAAGCGTGTTGATATCACTAATCTTAATTGACGAACGGTAAATTATCGATAATGACCAAATTTGTTAAATTATTGAAAATGAAACAAATATGAAATTGGTACAAGATAAGGGATAAAAATTGTAATAATCCCATTTTACTAACATTCAAGAATTTACCAAGTTCCTAGCACATGGCTTCAATAAATAAAAAAGATTTTAAACAAAGAAATAACAACTTTTATGGCCTTTTGAGGTACAACTCTAAAGAAAAATATATATAATTTAATTATAAAAGTTTATTTCAAATTGTCCTCTCCATGGCATGAAAGAATGAAATGTAGTAGTTGTTCATGCTATCCACCATTCTAAGTATCATACTTTATATGTTTTTCTTATTTAAAATTAGTTGTATTCGTCCATAAAAGAATGGCAGCTTAGCGGTTGAAGTAAGTGAGTTTGTGTTAATTGATCCAAATTCGGATCCCCTTGTCAACGGTCGGTGGGACGAGCTTTACCACACATAATTAGCCAAATGTGGTTCACGACTTTACGTATCTCTGTGATTTGCAAGTTATTATATGAGAATATATGTTTACCTAATATACTTATATGATTGGTTGCGGATTCCTTCATAATTTAAATTTATTGACAACTAATATTTATGTGTTACGTTCTCAATCAAATTGTATCATCATGAAATGAACATGATCGATCCCGCAATTAGACAACTTCTCAATTTTGTTTGCCAAAATCTATTCTTATAAAATATTGGGAGTATTGCGGCCACCCCATGAGGTATGTACATTAAAAAAAAAAAAAAAAAAAAAAAAACCTCTTCTACGGGTAATTGCGGTCATCCTTCATTTTAAATATTTTTACATAAGATTTATGTAACTGAGTTATTTATTGAACAAAATCGTATAATTAATTCGGTAAACGGTATGAAATGTTGGTGTACAGAAATTTCGATTCGATTTTACCGAATTAACATCCCTTAATTTACCTCTAAAAGAATCTATTCGTAAGATAATACATAGTTGAGGGAGATGGCTATAATTACCCAAATAATAGGGGGATTTTCGTAAATTAATCATAACTCAGGGGCAGCATAATATACATATATTATAATAGGGTAAATTACAAACACCCCCTGAGGTATGATCAAATTACAAAAACCCCCCTCTTGTTTGGATAATTACATCTACCCCCTCAACTATGATTTTTTCTTAGACCTCCACCTTTATGGTGCCAAATTCAACATAGTAATCTAGATTCTGTGAAATGTGATCTAGTTTGTACTCTTTTTTGTGTAAAAAAAACAGTTTCCGATGTAACACAAACTGATATATACAAACTAAAAATCACATATTATGATCATCTTGCTTCATAATGTAGAGTTTGAATGGGATAAAACGGGTACAAAAGTGATAATATTCCATATAATCTCGAAGATTCCACTAAATTTGATGAGTTGAGGGGGGTGGTTGTAATTATTCAAACAAGAGGGGTGTTTTTGTAATTTGACCATACCTCAGGGGGGTGTTTGTAATTTACCCATTATAATATTATGTGTTTGCTTACCTCGTTTTTTTGTTGTTGAACCAAAAAAAGGAAAGGGCCTGGCATACGTGGACGACAAGTCAAAATTGAAAAGCGTGGAGCCAAACAGTCCGCAGAAGATAGGCCATCAAGAAACATTTAAATCACCATTTTTTATGTTTTATAATTTGGTTTTAAGTATATTTTACCTAAACATTAGAATCAAATTAATTAAGTGAATATACTATTTCCTATTTGGTCAAAATATATTATTCAATCTAGAATTTGAATTGAGAATGATTATTTTGGAGTATCCTATAGTTTGATCCATGGATCGTATTCACGACAAATTATTGGCTATGTTTAGTTCCATTTTCATCTCATTTTTATATTTTTCCAAAATAAATTAATGTTTGGTTATGTTTAGTTCCATTTTCATCTCATTTTTATATTTTTCCAAAATATGATTTGATATCATCTCAAATTATAAATTAACATTACTTTTATTTTTTAATTATTGCCTCAAAAAGATATATTTTCCCAGAATAAAACTAAAATAACTCCCATACCCCGTAGTTTACCTTCTAAACTCAATCTACCTTCATTTTCAATTAAATAAATATAATTTATAACTTCTTGTAAATAATATAGAATGTGGTTATTCATATTTAAAGTGACTCGAAATTTATAACTTGAAATTACATGACCACTAGAGATTCAATTTACGCCTTAAAAATAAAATTGAGATAAATAAAAATACTTCTCAGTCTTGGAATTGAGGGAAATGCCAAGAAACACATGATTAATTGATTATACTTTCCTCACCATTATCCAAATCCAAATTAAGCCGGCGCATTTCTACGCTTAAATGATCGAGGGGAAAAAAAACAAGGGCAAAATGTATATATGTTCGAATAAATAACCGCTAGCTCGAGAAGAAATTAGTAGCAGAGAGAAATGCGTCTAGTTCCGTGTCAGTTACGAAAGAGCTCTCTTTGCCGTCGTACTTTTGAATCCACTATTACTTGTGTAGTAAAAAAAAAAAAAATCACGAACCGTACCATTTATTCAGAAGTTCCAATAATAGTACTGCAGCAGAATCCTTTGCTTTCTTCACACTCGGCATAGGTTCACCGATGCATTCATCGGTCCATCCTCTATCAGAAGTATTCACTCTCACAGCAAACGTAAATTTCTTTGCGTGCGCAGGACCACCCTCGTGTATACACCTAAACCGACAAAAAAAAAACATAATTATATAGCACATCGAAAAAAACAATGAGCGACTTTTACAAATATAAAAGTTTTGACTTTAGAGATGGATATAAATTACTTGTATAGGGGCATTGGCCAATTTTTACGAAGACAGATATCGTTCAAGGTTTGTCTGGTGAAAGAGTGGGTCCCGTTCTGCTTCTCCTTCCCATTTTTCTCAGCGTTCTCCTTGGATATAGCTATCTCCTTCTCTTTCAAGGCAACGAGGGCGTTTCGAGCAGCCAATTTCTGTGCCATTTTCTTTTGGGGATTATGAGCAAGCCCAACTTGAACACCGTCTACGTATACTTCCACAGTAGCCAAGTTCCCACTTCGCGTGGCTTTATATTCTAGACCTTCGGCTTGTTGTTGACATCTTTCTTGTAGTTCTCGAACAGGATGCATTGGGAGTGTTTCTGGGGTAACCATTGGGTCCAACAGTGGTTGAAAGACCTATAAAATATAAATATATATCAATTCGAGAAATTTCGATTCCCCCATTCTTATCCATTCCCAAAATGGAGAAATAAATAACCGTTTTGGTTAATAAGATTATCTAAAGCATCTCATAATATTCCGTATCTTGTAAGCATCGTATTTTAAAGGAGCCACGTGAAGAATCTAACCTTCCACACAACTGCAGTATTACATCCAGTGTCAAGGAAGATGGCCCCAGCAATTGATTCTACGATATCTCCAAGAACTTTAGGAGCTTTGCAATCCCCTAAACCAAAAGAGTTAAACCCGGGTTTCAAAAGTTCACTCTCAACCTCTTTCACGAAATCTCGAATCTGAAAATTAAAAATAAATAAATAAAGGCAATGAATTTGTAACTCAAACCCCAAAATCAGACAACGAAGAAAAAAAAAAAGGCCCCACGTACCTGTTTCTCAAGTGCACTTGAGCCATGACGAAGATGTGTATGAAGGTTATGCTTAACAGAAACGCGTGCGAAATTCTCATTATTCACAGCAGCAGCTCGCAAGTCGGTCAGACGCCCTGGAGGCAAATCTGTGTACGTGAAGAACAGGTGCTTTGTGATGAGATGATCCAGCACCGCATCACCGACGAATTCTAGCCTTTGATAACATGAAACACCAGAAGATGGACGTGATGCATGAGTTATAGCTTCAACCAACAACCCCTTGTCGTTGAACTTGACATTCAAGCAACCTTCTAATGCGTCAAAATCAATAGTTCTTAGTACACTGTCTGGAACAGAACTCGGCCTAATCGAATAATTTATCTCCTTCAAATCGAATTCTATATCGATTCCAATCCATTTCATAAGGTGGTTTGCAGCAGTCTTTCCACCTTCGACGTAATACACACCAATCAACGCTTCCACAACATCTGCCAGTGTTTTGCCGGATAGCACTCGGTACGAACTCGAGTCACCCTCGAGTTCCCCATCCTCCATTTCGTAATCTTCGTATTCGTCACCATTGTTCACTTTTTTTCTTAAACTCTCATCAGAATCTACTTCGGCATCAAACAATGACGGTTCTTCTTCCTTAGTGTCCTCATCAAAGACAGGAAGAACCCCAGGTGCAGCCCATCTAGATGATGCAAATCGATCTGCCTGGATGTACGACTGAAGCCCCTTGTCCAGTGCAAACTGATACAGTACAACGTTGCTTACCATCTGCTGCCTCATCCTAGTAAGCTGACCTTCATGTTTCTGAGGGTATTTTAGGAAAAGAAATCTGCTAACAACCCATTTCAGATAAGCATCACCTAAGAGCTCTGCTCTTTCATAACAGAAAGTCTCTTGACACGACGCTGCAGTTAAGGCTTCTAAGATCTGCAGATAGAAATCTTACACATCAGATATACATATACTGTAGCAACTCTTTAAGAAAATGTTTTTTGGAGAATTTAAAATACCTTTGAAGCAGGAACGGGGTAATTAATGATTTCCTTAAGCTGTACAGCGAGGAGCATACTTTCAATCCTTCTCATAATTGATGGCAATCTTTGAGCTCCCCTAACTAGTGATCCAGGAAGTGGATGCACAAAACAGAGTTCGGGAGGGAGAAAAACATAATATATTTTCTCATGTGTATCATCAGATTCACCATTATGACCTGCAACAGAAATTTTTAATCAATTTAATTCCATGAAAAATTGATCTATGGCCCAAAAAGATTAAGAGAAGGAATTCAGCTTTGCAGCATTGATACCTTCTGAGTGTTCAAAGCGTGGAGACAAAACATTCTTGCAGTACGAAACACCACGGGCTCTTATCAGAGGTTGCTGCTTATACATCAAATCTACACCATACCTAAAAATTGATTTGGACAATATGGTCAAATGCACAACACAACAAGCAAAATAGTGAGGACTTCTAATAATTGAGAGCAGCACACTCAAAACGATCTTAAAGTACTAGAAATCACCCAGCGAGGTTCTGCATCAATCACTAATCAAAATAAATATATTTGAGAATTTATCAGGTAAAACAGATGCAGGATATGGAGAACCTCCGCATTTTAAGCAATTAAACTAAACAAAATAACTAAATTTCTCTTCTCTGTGGTTGCATTTCAATTGAAGGATTTGGATTTGAGGAAAGGATTTAAAATGACTCCAAATTAAAAGGATTTGATATCCACCATAGTGACTGAAAAAAATAGCCTAAAATGAGAACTAAGGATTTGAATCCATTGTCGAATGAATCAATCAAAATAAGTTCAATGGATTTGTTTATTGTGGATTTCAAATCCTTCCATCCAAATGCAACCTTTCTTTTTTGGTAACAAACCCTTCTTCCATCCCCAGCACAATATTTTCAATGGCACGAAAGGGGAAAACCCTCAACGGAGGTATAGCCAGATACATGAACAGATACACGCATTGCATACAGACGGAGGGGAGGGAGGAAGACATTTAATTAAAGGATGAACTCGAAACAAATTTGGCACAGAAAAAAGAACATACTTTTGTTTATAATAATCGGCATAAGAACTGTACTCCAAAGGACCAAGGTAGCCTTCTTTCCTGGGGAATGAGTTCTCTGCAGTCATCTCAAAGCGCACGGAATCTACATAGAACCTCTTTCCAGAATGAGCTGCAGTAATAATTTTGCCTGCCAGATCTTCTGCTTGAATACAGGAATCAGCCATCATCAATTTGCCTTTTGCTAAATCAACTGGACGGGGCACTTCACTAGCATCTCGTGTACGTACTAACCCAGATGCTTTTACCACGTCAAACTGGGCAACAGCTCCTCTAATCCCATAGGTAGGGTGGAATTTCTGTTCAAAGGCCATGCCGTGTCGTAATTTGCCAAATCCATATTCTCTCCGGTCTCCACCTAAAGTCCGCTCATTAGTGCCAAGGTAAACATCCGGCCTAGCTTTCTGGAGGGGATTGTTCCATGCATCTGTCTTTGTAACATTTTCAACTACAGCCCAGTCAATATCATTCGACGAATCTGCCGATTTACCTCCGACAAGAGGAACAAATAAGTATGCTTTTGCAGTGTCCCAAGGTGTGTTAGATGGCTCAACATCCACATCCAATACAATGCTCATCAATCGAACGTGGAAGCTCTTAAGCAAAGACAACTGTATAATATAGATAGAAACAGTGAGGATTAGCTCATTGCTAAAAGGAAAACAATAATTCAAATAACTAATTAATATAACAATGCACCTGAGTTTCTCTAATTTCTATTGACCCTTTATAGGCGAGTGATGCTTTCGTTATCACAGACCGAGCAATAAATAAATCCACTGACATTGACAGTACCTAGCAATGACATGGAAGCACAAAAATAAAATGATTGTGCAACTAATCAAAGCTTAAAAATATGTAATATACCTCTGCATCCAATTCACTGCCAAACAATATTGCAAAGTCTGAGACGTTAACTAAGAGGGGATCTTTGGAGAAGCCAATATTTTCGCATTTGATAGAATACATGTGAAGGTGAAACAACTTGGAATCGTCACAGCCATTCCCAGATAACACCCATTCTCCCTGCAGAGACAAAGGGTTGACGTACTACTAAGATCAACAGTTAAGAACCCAAATTAATAGAATTACATGCTTATATCGCAAAATCCCAAGATCAACATGCAGTCTACAATGTCGGATATGGAAAACCCTCGCACTATTTTGCACCAAACAAGAGATGAATTAAACCATTCTGGTTACTATTCTGTCTGACCAGACATAACCTTACTTTTGAAAAGTATTCTTTTTTGCCCTGTACTATCAGGGTTTGCAGCAAAAGATTCAACGTAGAGAATTTTATAATCTGCATCATAAACAATTTAGTTCTTAAACATTCCTGTTGATGCGTTTAAAATTTCTCCGTGTCCTGCTCTACAACATAATCAGTGTGTAACATACTGAATGGGGAATTTTCATCAAATTTTGTAATTATACATTGCCAAATTACAGCAATGGGGTCTAGTTAGGGTTTAGTCCGGGCTATATCCCCTCAATTCCGGAATAGATTCTCATGTAATCAGATTTTATTTTTTAGATATCTTTGTCGAACATATAGCATCTTTTACAACTCACCTAGATATTCACATACTTAATTCCAGAATTTTAATATGCAGATGGTAGAACTTCTTCAAGCAAATCAATTGCAAGTATTTTATCAACTTCTACCAAGTTTACGTGGGTGGAGAGGACCACAAAAATCCAGGTATGTGTAATGTGTGAACAAGCAGCCACACATAAGCCTGCTTTGGGACAACTTCGATTAACATGCAACTAGTAATGATTGGAAATGGAGTGGTAATTGACATTTTCAGATTGCAAAAGATCATTTTGATTCTTAATTTAATAAAAAATTAATTAAAACTACGCTACTTTCAACAGCATAAAGCAGAGCGGTTTCACTTCAGAAGAAGTATAGATGGAAGAATAACCTGAAGAACGTCAGCTACTCCTTCAGGGTAAAATTCTCTATGCCTAGCAGTTCCAGGGAGAGGATCTCCATCATCATTTTGTTCAACTTTCTCAGCTTCTTCCCCTGTTCCCTTGTCTGGCAATAACATGTCAGTAAATGCTCCCATCTCGTGGAGCTTCTTGCAAGCAGCCAAACAAACAGCCTGAAATTTGCATAATCTATCAAATAGATACTTCTGATACATTTTAAACAGAACTACAGATGATTGTGACAATTGAGCATGCCTGTTGAGCAAGGCGCATCGATTTGCATGTAGGTCCCTCCAGTTTCTCAAATGGTGCATTACACGGAAGTTGAAGCTTGCACGAATACTCGGTAGCGCTTCCAGGCTTCTCATGAGGCACCATGATGAACTCTGGATGAAGAATTGAGTACCTGCATCATCAATAAAGTGAAGAGTAGAATTAGTAGAGCACAAAAAATTGTAGACATGAGAAAAAATAAGGTAAGGAAACATCAGAACAGTAAGAGAAAGCACCTGTCACTGGGCAACTGTGAGCAGTAAAAGTGGACAAGTCCGACTGCCGAATTTAAGCTCACAACAGCACCAGTAGACTCCACCTGGTAAACGGTACTAGCTAGTGGCTGCCCAGAATTTAAGCTGCAGGTCTCCTTGAGATGACTAATATCAGTCCTCTCAATAGCTTCTTTCCGCAAGGTCTCTTCGCTATTCCTAGCATTCTTTAAAAATGCTACATGGGACAAATTTCCTCTACAAACGAATCATAAGAGTAAGACTTTTTAATTGTCTATTCATGAATAATCTGCAGAATTGAAAACGCATATCACTCAATCTTACCTCTCAACCATCAAGATGTAATCTGATCCGGGTTTTCTGGCACGGCCTCTAGACTGAATATATGCCAATACCGTTTTGGCAAGATCAAAGCGAATAACAACATTACATTGCCGAATATCAAGTCCCTCCTCAGCCACACTAGTGGCAACTAAAACAGAGACCTGCAGGAGCAGATTACATGAACGAATAAGTTAATGAGATAATGGTATTTGAGGCAATCACACAAAGTCCAACTTACGCGACCATCTCGGAATCGGGCAATTGTATCTTGCATTTGACTGGTTCGCATTTCTTGACTATTGTTGTGCCCAATCAAACTAGCAGATTCGACAAAATCTAATGATGGAAGCTCTGCAAAAACCTGCACGCTTAAAGGACATATTAGATGTTTCATGGCGGCAAAGTTACCAAATATCCACACAATCTGTTTGCTGAACTCAATTGACCTTAGGAAGAACCAAAGCAGAGACAACACGTTCAACAAAGATTATGGCACGAAAATCCGCCGTGTGCTTATATCTCAGAAGTACTTTGATCAGTGACTGCACTTTTGGAGTCACTTTTCCATCGGCGACAGCAGCTCCAGTAATCACATCAACATGCTCTCCACCAGAGACAACTACCAAATACGTAGAACAGAACATTATACATTTTATTGTAATTGAAGCAAGAGATGAAGGAAATCTAACATGCAGAGCTTATGAATGACCAACAATAACATAAATCCATTGTCAAGTTCGTGAAATATCTCAGCTTCAGCAGAAGACAAGAAAACATGCATGCTTTAATCCGATACAGGATTTTTTGCTGGCAAATATATTTTTAAAAAATTAAATAAATATTATGAGGTGAATAATGAGAATCCATATGAATGTTTCTAGCATAATAATCTTGGTGAAGAAGCATAACAATCTCTATTTGAATAATTATCCTTCTCCTGCAAATTAAAGACATGTAGTATCTTCTGATTTGAACTGTTCGGATTTCATCACAGTAATGCAGAGAACGAAAACGATCAGCTTCCTCAAATGGCATCAGATGAACAAAGAAAAGGGGAAGAAGACACATCACAGAAGCAGTACAATTCCCAAGTAAATCTTTATTCGTCATAGTTGATTCATTGAACTTTACTCTAGTTAATCAACAAACTTAAAAGGGCAAACAAGACCCAATCTACGCCAATTTAGGATGGCAAGTCTGAGATCTTTTTTTCCCCATCCAACTAAAACCACATACATGTAACTATGTATGATAAAAGCCATAAAACAAATATGTTTTACTTCGACGCAGGATGTTCCACTTGGTTCTAAAACACAGTCAAGACTTAAGGATCAAAAAGCTAGGAAGATTTTCATTGGAATTTCTCTTTTCTCGCTTAGCTAAAATCTGGTGTCATCGTTATTCGTTCACAGTCGAGAAGTGTATTTTATTGATATAGGATTACACTTAATGAGATAAACCAATCAGTGACTCACCATAAATGCATGCTGTGCATGATAATAAAGATAGAACTTCTCACCATGACTGTTAGTAAGTTCCCCCTCCTCTAGGTCGTCAGGCCCATCCCCATCTGCAGCACTGTTGTCCATCTCAGTGCCTTCAACATTATTCTCCAAAATGGCTCCTTCAGACAGATGGCATTGCAAAAGAGAGACAACTTGGTGTAGGTATGATTCTTGGAACTTGACATCAAGTTGATAGTTTGCCCTTTCATCATTCTGCAAAGCAGTTAAAAATCCCTGGGCAACCTGCAAAGAAAAAACAGCCCTAAAAAATTCAGAACTTACTCACTAACAACAAAAGTTTTCCAGTCATCCGAAACTAAACATCTTAAACTATAGTGTCTGCAATCAAAAAACCTAAACCCCCTTCAAAGTTCTCTTCCACCCCTTCCAATAAACTCATAACAATTGCAACCTCAAAAACCTTTAGAGCAAAAGATGATGGAAACAATCACTACATGTTATAGTTGGCTGCAACACCGAAGAAGAAATGAAGCAGCAAAAGCAAGATAAAATTAGATTGAATCAAAAGATTAAATTGGGAAACCATGGAGCCAAATATAGTTCCTTAACTTATCCCTTGTCAAACCAGAACATGCAATTATAGACAAAGGGAAAAAGGAATCATCCTATTAAGAATGTCACATCACCTTGTAAGCACACCACTGTCCTAGTTCACCCAGTGCATAGTTGATGGCCCTTAATTTTTGGATTAAATTAGCAGCACCATCATTTTCGGTCCGTTCAGACACACCGTAAACTTGGCGTAGCTCTTCCTTCGCTCCAGCATCTCTGGCTCCCATAAATTGCCACTTACTTCTTCTGGAGCTTGACCGAGCAGCTTCTTCAACAGTATGTTCCATTTGTTTTATTTTCTCATGGAGGGACCACAAACTGGAAGCTTTGTCATACTCCACAACCACTTCTGAAGGCATTGGTACATGTTTCTCCAGCTCCTCACGGTCCTTAATAGTACAAACTACGGAGTCCAGTTTACTTTCCAGGTTGCGTATCTTTACTGCACAATCAACTTGGCTAGAAACACCTGAGTTCATAAACAGTTTCAGGTTCTAAGGAAGAAATCAACAAAAGAAACACAAGAGAGGGCAAATATAATACTTACAGCTACAAAAGTACCAAATGCAGAACAGAAGAACTCATCAATGTACATAAACACATGTGTGTGTGTGTGTGTATTTATATATATATATATATATATATATATATGCCGGGAAGGCATGCATGAGTGGTATTGAGGTGGGGAGGGTAGTATTAGGTCAATGTTTCAATTCCCTTGGTGTTCGGTTGTAGGTCATTTACAAAGCCAACATATATATATATATATATATATATATATATATATATATATATATATATATATATATATATATATATATATATATATATATATATACACACACACACACACACACACACACACACACACACACACACACACACGTGTGTGTTTGTGCGCGCAGAGGTGTGCAAGTACAGAGTGTGTGAACATTTACATTAAGTGATGCTTCCCACATTGGCAAGAGCGAATGCAATTGACTGCATGGACACAAATAAGCAACATACCCTTCAAGTTCACAGGAGATGCAGTCATCCCAAAAACTGATGGCCTCTTCTCCTTTTGTGTTGTGTGGTAGAACTCCGACATCACTAAAGAATAAGGATGTTTCTTCACAGCATGATGGCACTCATCCAAAATAAGGAGATTAATCGCTTCCATTTTTACTATACTGTGTCTAAGTATGTTCAAAAGAATTTGAGCCGTCATCACTAAAACCTGGATCAAGTACCAGCATAAGTGGGGAAAGTTAAGCATGACAAGAATCGACAGTAAATTCCAGTAGTTGAATACAGTAAATTCAGAATGCTGTTATTTTGAACGAACTAAATGACTCTTTGTTGCCACATACTTTCAATTGTCTCTACTTTAATAATGTGTCTTGAAATGCAATTCTTAAAACCAACGGAAATAATACATCCCATAAATAATCAGCAACCAGGACCTCGAAAAAATATTAGAAGCTGGTCAATCATGCACCTTTTTAATGATAGAGGAGACAAATTTTAACAATTTCCAATAAGCCAACTTATGTAAGCATTTAATAGTAACATTGTCATTACTTAAGATTTGACATTAATTGTCTAAAATTTAACGAACCGAAATAAGAATTTAAAAGAATCTGTCAGGTTTTGTCAGAAAGGTTGCATTAGGGTCTTTACATATATGAATACAGATGAGTGAGAAGTATTGTGTATTTATTTTTCTTATAATTGTCCAATAATCTAAATTATGTAAATATCCCAAAGTATGATGGAAGAAGCTCCAATATCTTATCAGATGTATTACAGTGCTTTTGTATGAGTGAAGATGAGAGCGCATGTGTGTGTACTTAAGCGCATGTATGAATATCTACATGTGTCGAAAGAGAAAAAACCAAATTAAGTTCACAAAGAATGCCCCATCTCTAAAACAACCACCCGTAGCCCAAACACCTAGCAACAATAGAAGATGCAAAAGTTCATATATTCCCATATTAATTGTTCTGAAAAATACGTGCATCAAACAGCAAAGCTGCTCAACAAACAATCCTTACCACCAAAATTTCCATCAAGGATCAAAAGATTACTAGAGAGAGAGACTGGCCCTTTGGCATTTTCTTCACCATTTAACAAATATTTGACCGAGTTGATCAGCTCAATCCTAATGTATCCTCAATTTTCAAGAGCAAGATGCAGGACATCGTCTTACTTCCTCCATCTTTATGTTTTATACAATTATAAGTAGGTGAAGACCCTTTACATGATGATAACGATCAATGTTCGGCCAGGCAAGTAAAGGGTTCTGCTAAAGATATTTCCCATAAAACAATGTTGTGGCCTCCAATTCATAAATAAAGAAAATATATGGCTGCACCACGCTACAAATCCTATTCAATGATTCTTCATAGAAAAAATAAAACTGGACGACTTTATGCTTTCGATATATTTGTATTACAACCAGAAGATACTATTGGTCTCTGTATGTTAAACAGATGCTATGTAAAAGTTATAACAACCTTTGCTCATTCACCCTTTAGCATGATAAAAAGGGAAATGAAAGTTGCGTAAATATTACTTGCACCGATAAAATGTAGTATACCTCAAGTTGTTTGGCACAATTGACTCTCCTCTATCTAGTATGGGAAGATGATTAATTTTTCAAGGTTTACTGATTCGCCCATTCCTTTTCTTAATCAAAACAGGTGTTTCATGTACAGGTACTGCAACTAGGAAAAACTAAGGGTCTTTCTTTTTCAAGCCATCTTTGACGAAATAAAAATGAAAAATGGGCTTTGCTTGTACCTCCTATTTTACTTCCCTCTGCTATTCTCTCTAACAAAAGTAGAGAGGTTTTTTTCTACATCCACTTCTACTTGCCTTACCGTTATGCCTACATTCCTCACCACCGAACTCGGCAAAACTAAATGGTAAATGGGGTAAGGTCTAAATTAATCCTTCATTTTTTTCTTCACTTCTTCAATTGAGAAATGTCAAAGTTACAAGCTCCCTCACCCCCTACCCCCCTCCTTTAAGATACTTTACCTCCTGAAATGACAGAAAATTATGTACTGTTTGACTTGAGAGTTTTCCATGATAAGTTAACTCCAAGGCCAAATAGTAAAGGAAGTTCTTTTTTAATATTATTTATATGAGTATTGCAACAATTATCGCTATTCACTTCAACAGTTAAGACACAAGTGAGAAACCATCATTCTCTATGCTCCAACAAAGAAATCAACCTTTCACCACATATCATTTACTTTGCAATGGACATAATAGAAATTTAGAAAGAACTCATAAATGAAAGAGGAATTAAAGTAAAAATTCGATAAACATTAAAATTAAGTGTTGCAGACAAAAGTACCTGCTTGCTATCAAACTCACGCTGCCACCTCCGTGCATCCCAAAAATCCTGACCCATTTCACCACAGTAATGGCCAACTTGATAACCTGTGCGCTCACGGATAACTTCAGCTTGCTGCATTTTAAAAAGAGAGTTACTCACATAGACGTTGACAGATAAAATGAAAGTTCTTCACTGATTCCCAGTAAGATACTACCTGATAAACAAGAGGAACTTTCGGCACCAAAAAGACAGCCAACATTTTCTTATTTTGTTTTTGCAATTCAGTGCTGACACTTTTCATGAGAAGGACAGCGATTAGTGTTTTTCCAGCCCCTGTTTCAAGAAAAGCAATAGTGTTTCTCTTCTTTGCCTGCTCAAGAACGTCCAACTGGTACTGACGAGCTTGCTCCTCGGGAAGTTTCTCTTTCGGCTGGTCCGATTTCTTCTCGTCTGTAGTATATTTGTTGCTTTTCTGAGCGTTCGCCTTCTCATCTCTATCACGAGAAGATTCCCAAGAACCCATTCGATAAACCAACTCACTTGTTTCTTTCTCCCGCTCCCAGTAACCTCTTGCTTCCCTATAATCCCTGTCCTTGCAACTACCTGTACTACACCGTTCTCTTTTCCTCACTTGGCCTCTTACATGCCCATCGGTCTCCACATCATCCCAACCACGGTGTCTCTTCCTTCCCGGCACCCTGTCCAGAACCCTCCTTTCCTTCTTTGGATCCCTACAAGGAACTCTTCTGTCGTGCCTTTGCTCAGTGTTGTTAAATTCACGAGACCTTCTGTCAGTCTCGGTTCCGTCATTCTTGAATCCATTACCGCAAACAGACGGCCTTTTCCCGTTGCAATTAACAATTTCATCCTTAGACACTGATTGTTGATCCTGGATGGTATTATGAGCAAGTAAATCATCGTCAACACTCTTTATACTGTCGAGAATCTGATCAATCCCGCCAAAGAAACACGGGTCAAGGCAGCCACCATTAGAGAGCGGCTCCAGTACAGGAACTGAAGCTGCGGTGGCAGTTCCGAAATCGACAAAGTAATCATCGCATGAAATGTCCTCGCATGCATCCAGCCAGTACGACGGCCTGCCGTCAGCAGCAAGAGCACAGGCATCAACTGAATTCCCAGCCTCCCCTTTATCCAGTTTCTTTTCACAATCCATTCTCGAATATAAATTATTACTAAATTAAAACAGAGGCATAAACCCTAGGCAATAAACATTTTACTTCTAAAAAAACGAGGACAAACAATCTTCTGCTTTCAAATCCAATCCACACCAAACAGTATGAAGATAAATAAATTAAATAACTGAACCGAAAAGTACCGAAGCACACAGAAGCTTTTACAGCTAAAAAAAAAACACACACACACAGAGAGAAACCCTGAATTAATTAACTGAAAGGGGGGTAGGCGAGAGGTAGAGAGAGGTAGAGAAAGAGAGAGTGGAGAAAGCAGATAAGCGTTAAATAGACCGTATGAAGCACGCGAAGAGGGTATGATTCGAAGATTCTCCCCCCACCACCGGTCTATCTTACGCCACTCTGCTCTCTCTTCTCTTCTTCTTCCGTGCAATTAAACTCAGTGAGTGCCCTAACTTATCTCCTGCTCCTCGAATTGCGAATTGCGAATTTCCGGCGATCGATTCCGTTGAGAGGCCGCCGTGGAAATTACACTTCCGGCGCCGACTCGATCCGACCCGACCCGGATCCAGAATCTACGGGCGTACGAACGATATGGGGCGGACTGAAATTGAGCTGACTGACAGTTGACTACATTCATCCCTATATATATATTATTTATTTTATTTTATATATTATTATATTATGGGTAAATTACAAACACCCCCTGAGGTATGGTCAAATTACAAAAATACCCATCTTGTTTGGATAATTACAACCACCCCTCAACTCCTCAAATTTAGTGGAATCTTCGAGATTATATGGAATATTATCACTTTTGTACCCGTTTTATCCCATTCAAACTCTACATTATGAAGCAAGATCATCATAATATGTGATTTTTAGCTTGTATATATCAGTTTGTAGTGCATCGGAAACTGCATTTTTACACAAAACGAGTACAAACTAGAGCACATTCCACTGAATCTAGATGATTATGTTGAATTTGACACCATAAGGGTGGAGGTGTAAAAAAAAAATCATAGTTGAGGGCGGTAGTTGTAATTATCCAAACAAGAGGGGTGTTTTTGTAATTTGATCATACCTCAGGGGGGTGTTTGTAATTTACCCTTATATTATATATAGAGATAGAGATAGATTGTGTTGTCATCGTTTGGCTTTTTCTTTCTTTTTCTTACATGGGGTTGTCTAGGGTCCGAGAGAGGTTGTACTACTCGGACCCCAACGATTGAAAATCAACCAATAAAAATGTGACACGTATGATTTGTACGAACCCCATAAAAAAAGTACGATACCTACCTTATAAGTGAAATTACATAAAAACCCCTATAACTAAGTAACAATTAATAATAATTAATAATTAGGGCCATGACAAGAGACTTAAATGCACATTGGTCCGCATAAACAACAATCTTTCAAATAAACCCATCACCATGTCTTTACTCTAAAATACCCTCCATATTTTATCAATTTCATCAATTATACTCTAACTTCCTTAATATTACACATTGACCCAGAATTTAAACAATTATATCAAATTAACCCCCATTTTAATAATTTTTTGAAAAAATAATTTTTTAGAAAATAATTTTTTTTTCCGACCAGATTCCGGCGTTAACCGGGCGAGCGGTGTCCGGCATTGAATTTTTTTTTTTTGAAAACTTTTTTTTCTGAATTTTATTTTCCGGACGGTCAATCGAAGTTGACCGCCGCTCTCCGGCGTTGATTTTTTTTTCGTTTTTGAAAAAATAATCCTTAGAAAAAAATATTTTTATTAATATTACTAACTTGCCTACTAAATTACTGTCTCATACAGTAATATTATATTGTTTCAGACAATAATATTACTGTTTCGGGCAGTAATATTATGAATATTATTTTCCCGAACCGTAACATTACTAATACTATTGTCCCAAACAATGATATTATTGTTTGAGACAGTAATATTACGGTCGAAGACAATAATATTACAGTTGAAGACAACAATAATGCAGGCCAAGACGATAAAATTAATTAATACAATAGTATTATTGTCTCAGACAGTGAAATTACTGTTGGAGGCAGTAGTTTTGAGCCAAGACACTAATATTAATTAAAATATTTTTTTTAAGAAAAAAAAAATTCAAAAAAGAAAGTCAATTAACAGTTAAACTATTGTATCCGACAGTTAAATTACTGTTGAAGACAGTAATTTAGCAGCCAAGACAATAATATTAATTACAATATTTTTTTAAGAAAAAAAAAGTCAATTACAGTTAAATTACTGTCTCCGACAGTTAAATAACTGTGAAGACAGAAATTTAGCAGTCAAGATAGTAATATTAATTAGTATATTTTTTTAAGAAAATAAAAGGTTAATTAACATTAAATTACACTATTCGACAGTTAAATAGCTGCTGGAGACACTAATTTAACAGCCAATACATTAATATTAGTTAAAATAGTTTTTTTAGAAGAAAAAAAAAATCACAGCCGGAGACCCTGCGATTGAGCTACCGGAAAAAAATTTCAGACAAAAAAAAAGTTTTGAAAAAAAAAAAAAAAGAGTCAACGCCGGAGACCGTGGGTCTCTGGCGGTCTCCGGTGGTGGCGAGTCAAAATTGGGGTCAAAATTGAAATTATGGTCAAAATTTGGTTAATTGGTGAAATTGGGCTAAATTAGTTAGCCGAGGTATGATCGTGAATTTATTTTTTTATTTGGGGGTCAAAGAGCAAAAATAACCAAAGTTAGGGGCAAAGTACAGTTAACCCTACTTTTAATTCTCTGATTTAATAATGTAAGGTTAATAAAGTAATTTTACTTGTAGTACGATGGAGTACGACCTTTGTACGATCTATTTTTACTGGGTTCGTACTTTAATTTATAAATTCATAGGTTCGTACTGGATCGTACTAGTTCGTACTTTAAATCAACGACTATAAATTTTTACTAAATATTTTCTACGCACCAGATTAAATCGTTTGGGTCCGAGTAGAACAACCCCTCTCGAACCCTAGACAACCCCTTCTTACATACTTTGGATTTTTGGTGAATTCGTACTTCCTTCGATTATTTTTGTTGTACTTTTTCAGTAATTATATATTAAGTATTTTTTATTGCAACCAAAAAAATGTCAATTTTAATTTCCTGGAACAAAATGGGAGTTAATTTTTCACTTTCGGAAAATTAAATTGAGTGTAATTTTGATCCGATTCATTCAATTTTTATTGCATTTACGAATTTCTTGGTATTTTTAAAATTGATGACAGAAAAAAATATATATAATATAAACGCAATCAAACGTGGTTGAAAAAAAATATATAACTCGATGATGCAATATTTTTTGGGGGAAACTAGGCTCGTCCTTCCTCGTAAATATTTTTTATAGATAAAAGAACACTCAATTTTTTGCTATTTACTAAATGTTTTTTTTTAGAGCTTACTTATACAGTTTATACTAAGTATTACACATAGGTCTCGTTTGGTTGCCGAAATAGTTGGACTTAATTTGATGTTTGGTATCCTCAATAAATTGCCGGGTCGATCCGTCTTGCCTCATCTTGGCTTATTTTGCCTTCTAATGAGTTTTTTTTATTAGACATTTCAAGCTCTAATAAAATAATTGGGTCTCATTAAATTATTTAATCTTATACTGGCTAATCTTATCTTGCCAGCCAATCGGGACCATAAAGTTTAGTTACAAAGCTTAATTACGGAGCTTAATTGAGTTTGGTTATGTTACAAATATTTAATATTTACATATTTGCATTCATCTCTCTCAAACCCTGTAGCTAAACAAAATTAATCAAGAAAGTACGTAGACCTAATTTCTTGAGCGACTATTGTACATTAATGTGATTATACGTGTGTGTGTGTGTGTGTGTGTGTATGTGTGTGTCACAATGTGGGTATGTGCGCGTGTGTGTGACAGTGTATGGAAGAGTTTCAATAATGACAGCAGTGAGGAGAGAGAGTGGAGCAGTCCTAAAAGATTGCAAAAAAAAATATGGATGTATGGTGGAGAAAAAGATAATAATAAACGACTTTTAACAAATTGTCAAAATCTCATTTTTCATGATTTGGCTAATTTTATTCTAAAAATAATAATAATATTGAGCTAAAAAATTCTTCCAACTAGAATATACCACAATCATTGCTGGTCCAAACAAAAAAAAGTATTGGAAAAGGCAAAAGATTTTATTCGATTAATCTACAAACATGATTTTGTTCATTTACTCTTTTTAATTCTCAATATGATGATATGATGGAATCAAATTCCTTTTTTTTATTGGCTAAATTACGGTAAGAGGTAAGCTTAAATTGCGAAAAAACTTTTATTGTTTGGGTAATTATAACTATCTTCTAGACTATGAATTTTCTTACACGTTCACTTTTATGGTGTCAAATTCAACATAATTTTCTAGATTTTGTGGAATGTTATCTAGTTTGTACTCGTTTTGTGAAAAAATACTGTCTCTGATGCACTACAATCTGATATTCACAAGCCAAGAGATACATCTTATGATCATCTTATTTCAAAATATGGAGCTCAAAAGGGGTAAAACGAGTACAAGTTGGAGAATATTCCATATAATCTAGAAGATTCTATAAATTTGACACAACAAAGGTGAACATATAAGAAGATTCATAACTGAGGGGTGGTTGTAATTACCCAAAGACTTTTTTGTATTTTGACATTACCTCAAGGTGTGGCCGTAATTTACCCTTTTTATATATAACATCTAGATGGTTATTAAATTATCATAATTAATTTGTACTCGAGTAAAAGAATTCGTAACCGACTATATAAATGTACAAAATAAATCTACACTGTTGTACGGTAAAGTGTAAAATATACATCGAGTGTTAGATAGACTTTTGGCCAGACTACAACAAAATAACGAGTTCAGATAAAAATGAACAAAAAAAAATTAGTTTGGGGGGCAAATTGTAAAGGAAATACAATTGTTCTCATGTGAATAGCTAATTAAACGATGACACGTGTCCCGTTTTCGTGCGTGTGCAGAATTAAACTCGTGCCAACCCAACAACTCCCAAATGAGCCCATCAGTTATCTTTTCAATAGTCAGCCCATCAATTTTCGGCAGGTCCAATTCCTTTGTCAAAACGCCGCCGTTTCATCCTTCTTCAACTTCGTTCTGAAATCCGCCGTCGCCGTTACCGGAATTGCCGTGGGTCATGAAAATAGCTGATCAACCTTAACCGGAATATTTTCACGGATTCCTTAATGCCACAATTACGAATCGAGAGAGCCCTATGCAGTATTAGATTTTCTGTAAGTGTTTTCCGTATATTTGATTTGATTTCTCTGCATATATTTTAGGGTTTTGATATATATATATACACACACACATATGGCTTCTTTTAGTCAGGTTTTTGTATGATTTGTAATTCGGCAATTCTTTTTCTCAGTCCATATTTTGGTGGTAGCTATAAGGATTTATTGCTTCTTTAATCGTATCAAGTTTTCTTAAAATGCCAAATATGAACGTTTAATTTTAATTTGTGAAAAAATGCGGTTTTCAATTTTCACATTTGATTTTAATTTTAATTTTAATGTATAAATTGGGATTCAAATTTGTATTTTTTTTTCCTTATCCCTTTCGGTCTTGAATCTCCAATCTGTCGATTTATGACAGGTCAGGAAATTTTTGATAGCATCGTTTGTTCGTTTACTGTTGGATCATGGTTCAAGTGGTAAAAGATAACTGGTAGCTGTTCTTCTTACGAGACGTTTCTACCATTTTTGGAACTTTACTTATTTTCTCAAGTGGAACAAGGTACATACAAATCCTTGTTTTGTTCCTTATTCTTGTGATAGTGCAGTTTAATTAGTAATTTAGTCAGTTCATTTTTATCTTCTATCATAAATGGTGTACATGAATACTATGTCCCATTTATGTGCCAAACGGTGCCTCATTTAAGCTATTTTTTGAATTTCTTTAGCCTATTACCAATAAATAATATTATGGGGAGGGATATGTTTGGCGGTAAGAAGAGTTGGTGGCAGAGTTTCAAATGCTAGATTACTTAGTTTTTCATTGTTAGGATACGTACAATATGCGTGACTAAGTTTTGGGCATTCACATGGCAACGCCCAAAACTTTGTCACGCATATAAACTAGGATCTTTTCTATGAATGTACATGTGAACGCAACAAGATAGATACAATTTTAGTTGGAAATGTGTTTATCTAATGTCTGAAATTACAAGTGAAAAGCTATTTGCTGTTTGCATGATAACCATTGGCAAAATTGTCAAAGCTAGTGCTGAGAGTTGAGACATTATTGTAATTTGGGTTTTATGATCAGCTTTTTAGACATTTGAAATGTTCGTTGGAGCATATGGGATTATTGAGACATGAGTCGCCTACAAATCGGCATTTTGGGAAATTGCAAATATGCATGTATCATGTGTAAATGTTTACTGTATTTGTTAGAGTCACTCTAGCTCTATAATCAACTAATGTCTGCAATCTGGTCAGATGAACTGGATGAGGGGGAGTGTAAGTATGTACAGACGATATGTGCATACTGCGAAAAATGACGGGGACTTGAATAGAGATTTTTTTGCACAACTTTGGATTGCTGATAAAAAGAAGCCAAAGCCTTATGGAAAAGGAAAGTATAAAGTCCTGAAATCCAGTGGTAGTGGTGAAACCTTTGTTGATGGCAGAACTATATCCGGTTTTCTCGAAAGAGCATTTTCAGCTGCATCTGTTGCAAGTGAAAAGTCTTACGACAAGATGAAGTCAAATTTGAAGCAACCACCTACCAGTCAGTCTGTCACTGGTACATTGAAACCAATATCTTCGGAAGAGGTAAGGTTACTTACAGTCTTCTGTGGCACTCTTGTTGCAAACGTATATATTATTTAGTTGGATTATTAACTCTATTAGCTATTTTGCATGTAGCCACTTACGTATTCCTGTGAGAATTATTATTTGCATCTTCTGTTTCTGTTTATCTAGTCTTCTGTTGGCCTTGTTTTCTTTTTAGGAGTTGTCTTAATTATTATCTCTTTTCCAGATAATAAATTTGTATAAAAAAAAAATTATGACGGAGGTAGACAACCTTGGTTATAAGTTCCACAAACAATGAAGTCTTTGTATAGGCGATAAATACAGTATTTCAAGTTATATTGTTCATACTGAGGTGAGTTGAAAGATGTATTAATGTCATACCTCGGATTAATACATGGCTTTTATGTACACTTTCTGTGCTTTGGCATATCGGCGTTATAAGTTATTTGTCCATACTGAATTGAATTTTGAGATATGTATTAACGTCATACCTTCGGTCAATACATGGCTCTTATATAATCTTCCTACACTTTTTCATATCCGTATTGGATTATTTTATTTATGTAAGTAGTACGGAGGCTTTGATAAGCTATTCCTATAAGTACCAAGCTCATGTTACCTTTAGTTCTTTGCCAACCTCATCGATGCACTTTACTATTATTATTTCTTAATGTTGAAACTATAAAAACAGAATCACCAATGCGATGGTACAAAGATGCCACCATGTAATTCTATGGTGGCTTATTTTCACTGCTCTTTTCCGTATTTTGAAAAGATTAAAATATACTTGATATCTTTCTATCTGTAGAATAGATTCAGACCATTCTTATGTTGCTCTTTTAGTTTTCTGCTCATCTTTGATTGTTTCTAATATGTTGGGCTATAAAGTAAGATGAGAATTTTGCTGCATTAGTCCACTCCTCGTGCAAGTTGTCAGCCTATCTATATTCATACAGTTGTTGCATCCTCTTATTAGCCTTTTATTTCTAGTCTTTTGCTAGTTTAAATTACACGTCAAGACAATTTCTAGTGGATCGCGTGTTTGCATTTGTAGTTTTTTTTATAGTTCGACCAATTTATATAGAGATATCTGAAAGAAAAATAAGAGGATTTATAAGTGTGCCAAACATATGTAACACTTTTAGTTTATTTATCTATTAGACTGTAAGATGATTAGTTATTGATATTCGTGAACTTTCTATGTAACATTAACTTGCTCGAAATTTATTTCAGTCCAAGGTTGCACCTCTTCTTGCAAGATCCAATCTGCTGATAACCAGGGATATCGAGTGGGCTAACTTGGTCCTTGGTTTTGAGCAGGTCAGTTTTATGGTTTACCAATTTCTGTTGAAGTAGTTTTTAGCAAATTTTGCTTCACTCTCGTCGTAATCCCATCAACTGGTGAAATATATTATAGGTTGTCCAACTCCATCAACTGGCTTTATGATGATATTCTGAAATATGTTTTCCTGATGAAATGTAATTTTTGTATATTGAAATTGCAGGAAAATCGATATGCCATAGTTGATGTCTGCTATCCTCAAGCAGTATGCGACTTTTCTTCTTGGTTTTAGTCCTCTGCCATATTATCCTTTTTTTTTTGGGTCTTTCAAATATAATGACTCGAATTGCGGTCAGTAGCAACTATTTACTCTTTAACATTGTTTCCCTAGCCTGTAGGTTTTATCCGCGAGCAGAGTAACGTGATTGCTAGACAGGTATATATAACTCTCTGTATTCAGGATATTGCCATGCTTTTTTTGTCTTCTACTATTTGTTGTTATCCGATAATTGAAAAAAGAAAAGGACAAATGACAATTCAATTAAAATATTGAATGACCTCAAAGTAACGAGCAGGTTCTCCACTAAGATGGATGTAATGCTTATCTCAATTCCTGCGGTCACTTGATAACTGGGGCCATAAACTCTGTTATAATTAAGTATATGTCGGCTTTATTTCTCCTTTCTTTGTGTGGATATTCTTGTTTTGGTGAATATGATGATTCCTTCATGCTTTTCTGCAGTTGCTTCGACTAAGACGCCCTTTTATAGCATCCATATCTGACGGATTAGGAAATGAACTCTTTAGGGTAAGAACTTTTGACTTTTTTCCGACCATCAGCAGTTGCAAGCTTAGTTTGGTGCCTCTGTTTAACCTCGTAAAACTGCTTCCAAGTAGGTCAGGAGGCCATTTTGGTGGATCACCAGTTCAATCTATGCAGACATAAACGAAAAAGTACGTCTCTTTTTGAAACTTTTCCCTTTGCCATTGATATAATGCTTGAGCTTAGTTCTGCACAATTTTGGAGTAGTATAGATTTAAATTTAAATTAATACTGAATTTAATTTTATTTGTTTTATCTTTTTATTAGGAAATTGGTGTTGTTCATAGAAGGTGGCATCTCTGGAGGAGAATATATGATTTGTACTTGGGGTAACACTTTTCATTGAGCAATTATTCATGTTTTAAGGAATTATCCCAAACTTGCACTTTTCGAATTCTGAATCAAATGTTTGCGGTTTTTTTTTTTTCCTTTTTCTTGTCTTAGGAATAAGCAATTTGCGGTTGTTGAGAATCCTGGGTTTTGGAACTGGACTTTCACTCTGAAGGATATTGAAGGAAATGTGTTGGCTGAAATAGACCGTGACTGGAGGGGTTTCGGATTTGAGGTTCTGGCTTTTCGATTTTTTTTTTTTTTAATAATCTAAGTTAATTTATCTTAAAGGATTGATGATGCTGCTGCAAAGAAGAAGATAATAATTCAACGTTGTTTACATCTGTATTGTGCAGATTCTTACAGATGCTGGTCAGTATGTGATTCGATTCGGGAGTTCCGATTCTAGCGTTGGGCCTACAGGGGTACTTCAGTCATTGCGCAATGCCCCGAGTCGTTTTATTTAGTTATATGAGTTTCTGAATTTTGCTTCGATTTTTTTTTCTAGGTTCAAGAATTAAACGTAACTCGTTCACTGACACTGTCTGAGAGAGCAGTAGCTGTTGCACTCGCTGTTTCACTAGATAACGACTACTTCTCCAGACACGGAGGCTGGTAAGATAATAGTTTTTTTTCTTTTTCTTTTTTTTTAATCATATACCTCTGCTCGTTAAATATCAATCATAAAACATTTATTTTTCTTATCAGGGGTTTTCCCTTTATGGGGGTCGATGAATGAGAATTGGCATCGAGAGTGTTCGACTGCTGAAGAAAAATAGAAAGACATAACAAACTCGATCAAATATTGCGCCCGTCTGAATCGGTTAGTGTTTTCACAATGAAAGTGGTAAAACGAGTTTATGTGTTGTCGTTAATATTGGTTTCGTATCCTGGCCCTACAAACAGTAAATTGCTGCTATTGTTTAGTAAAAGAAACTGTAGTAAAATGCTTCTATTGTATTGTCACAATATCCATGTTATTACAAAAAAGTTGTAAGAAAAATATTTTCCTAAAGAAAAATAAGAACCTGCTTAGCTTCTGTTTATTTATTATTATTTTTTTTAAATTTTAATTTCCTTTCTCTTTCTTTTGCTAATCACTACTTTATTTATTGTATATATTTTAAACAATATGTTCTTCTATCTTATTTTCATAAATATATATGTAGATGAAATATTTTAAATTACAATTAAGGCTTCTTCATTTCGATTCTGGATTGAAGGATTTCAAATTTGTGATATTTTCCTATAATACCCTTTTAATATCCTATAATACCCGTATTTATTAATAAAAGAAAAAAATAAAAAGACAAAAGGACACAAGACAACAAATAATATGAGATCACAAAACCTCAACATTTAAAACCCTCGAAAATAAATATGGAGTTGATAGACATCAAAATGAAAGATTTTATGGTAGGATAGCCATGGGAGTATGCATTAATTTGTGTTTATTAATTAGGTAACCCTTTTTGTTCGTTTTTTATTTTTTTTCCGCACAAACAAGTATCGACATTTGCATGTCGATTTTTGTCGCAAAAATCGACATCTACGTGTTGATAATATTGCCAAACGAAAAGGAAAACAACCAAATATCGTCATCTTAGTGTCGAAAAGAATAGCATGAATTCGATTCCAAGGTGTCGTTTTTTTTTTTTTAAATTGACATGTCAAAAATTTATCCTCAAAATCGACATGCAAATGTCGACAAACCATCCAAAAAATGAACTTTGCATGTCGATTTTCTGGGTCGATAGTTAAAAAAAAAAAATCATTATATCCTTAAATCGTCGATTTTTCAACATAATGACACTAGTACCTCCTCAATGGAGACTTCTAAATGACATTTTGACAAAAAACTTTGAAAAAAAAATCGATTGTTACAAAAAACTCTTTCGAATTTTTACAATCTTTTAAGATTTCGAAAACCTTAATTGTCGAAGGTTTGGTTAGGGCGTCGGAGTTGGACGGTTTGCTCCGATGACTATGAAAAATTGCTCGGCGGCAGGTTTTGATCCGACGGTTGGAGGGTTTTGCTGTGCCTAGTCTTGCAATGTTTTTTTATTTTCATTACATCTTTCATTCTTGCAACAACGAAACTAAGAGAAATATAATTAATAGGCATATTAGTCATTTCTATTTTTTCTCTTAGAAAAATAGTGTTTTCTTTTGTGGTCTTCCACTTAGTGGAACAAGTATTTCGAATAGCTTGCGACATAAGAAAAATCTCAAAAGAAAAGTTTCTTCACTTTATTTATATAAATATAAATATATCCAAACCAGTTGGCATGAAAATATGATTTGGAAAGTAACACTCAATTTTAATTCATAACTTTTCTAAGGCAAACCCATAAGCAAACATGATGGATGTTTCCCCTATAAAAAGCATACATAATAGCCCTAATTTATATATTAATTTAAGTATTTATATTTACATATATTATTATAATATATCTCTTCTTTTACCAAATCACTACAACTTTGCCAGGCTATAAAGAAGAGTCAATATGAAGAATTTTTTAAAAAAGGCCCTTTTCAATTTTCATCATAATCTCCAATTTATTAATCAACCCTATTCTTTTTGCTCCCTTTTTCAACACCATCTTCCTTTTTCCTATTCATTCTTGTTGGAAAAATGAGGTGGTATACCTATGGCCCCTAGTAAATCGGATAGATCGGATCGGAGTTAATACTCTTGAAAAAACTCTAATTTTTTTCGGAAATGAAAAACTAGCTTCAATTTTGTTCCAAAAGTTCGGAAAAATTGAAAATCTGAATTTCGAAAATTGGAATGAAAACAACTTATTACAAAAATCGGAAAAGTTGGAATGGGAATCGGCGGAATTCAGAAATACATAATAATATTGATATTTTAAGTATGATATTCAATAAGAGAAAATCGGATTGAAAATCGAAGTCTCACATACATTCAGATTTTGATCCATATAATTTCGGGAAATTTTCGCTTAATTGTCGTCTACTGGGGTTCGATTTAACCGAGTTTATCAATCTTTATATGTTCAAGTGATGATATATTTATAAAAAAATGAGATATGTAAGATTTAAGATTGTGATGTGAACTGCTATTAAGAAGTTTGATTCTTTCCTACTCACCTCATCCAATATAGACCTTACCTACTCAATTAACTAACCTCATATTTCTAAATCCCAACTAATAAAACGAAACTTCATTTTATTTTGGGTAAATTACGGTCACCTCCTGAGTTATGTTCAAATTACAAAACCCCCTCCTGTTTGGGTAATTACAACCACCCTTCAACTATGTAAATATCCTTACGAAAAGATCCCTCCATAAGTAAATTTTGGGATGTTAATTCGGTAAAACCGAACCGAAATTTTGGTATGCCAACATTTCATACCGTTAACCGAACTAAATATACGATTTGGTTCGGTAAATAACCGAATTACATAAATTTTATGTAAAAATATTTAAAAGGAGGGGTGATTGTAATTACCCAAACAATATGGGCATTTTCATAATTTAGCCATACCTTAGGGGATGTCTAATTTGCTCTTTTATTTTTATTGAGAACAAAACACTCTCCAAGAAAAAAAAAAGTATATCTATGTTTTGTATAAATTTATTCAAAATTCAGATCGAAGTATCTACTCGTCGATGAGCTTTTAAGAAGGTGTTTGTTTAAGCTTATAAGTTGTCTAGTGTTTGGTAACTTAAAAAAAAATTAAGTTTGTTGGAGAACATTTAAGATTTTTTTTAGAAAAAACAGATACCCACCTTATTATTTAAGTATAGTGAGTAAAAATAACCTTTCAATTTATTATCAAGACACTTTAAAAATTAATTTAAAAAATAAAACGTAAAAGTTTATCAAAACAACTTATCAGTTGTTTAAAGTAACCTTAACCAAACGGGCTTTAAATTGGACCACATTATTTTTTTGCTTGATATCGTGCATAAAATAAAAAATGCAACTAATGTAATGCTAATTGTAATATTATAAAATCAACAATATTTTGATTGCTGGATCCTCATAGTCACCCTGCAGCCTCAAGCGTACCTTCCCTCCATCCCCTATCTTTTACCTTTTTTTTTTTTTTTATAACATCGCATGTATTTAATTGAAAT